GTCAATGGTATCTTGCGCCCTGTTTGTGGCCCAGCACTTGAGGTGCCAGGGTGCCCCCAACAACTCGGAAGCTCCAGTCAGTGCTTGACTGGCTACCACGTGCTGGGGCAGGGATGCCCATGGGCAGCTTTTCTCACAATGGCCTACTCGCTTCAAGGGCAGGTGGCGGACCCTGTCTGAGAAGGTCTGCAGCCTCCGCCAGGTGACAGAGTTGGCCTCTGGCATGTAGCATGACTTCTGCCTGGAGAGAGCCAGGGTGTAGTCTCCAGAGCCTCCCTGAGGGGTGCAGTTGGTGCCGACCAGAGATGGGGCAAATAGAGTAGCCTCGAAGGGCCACAGACCATGTGCTCTAGCCTCGTGTAAAGGTGAAGGGAAGTGGTGGGAAGTCTGCCCGCTTATCTCCCCAGCGGACCCCAGGCTGACCAGGCAGACCTGCCTGGCAAGACCACTTGTGGCTGTCTCTGAAGTCACAGCACAAAGGCTCTAGCTCCCGTGCTGCCCTTGTAGGGCCCTGCTGTGGGGACACTCGTGCTCCCTGCCAACAGAGCCACCACCACACTTCCTGCCACCACCAGCAGCCAAGACCAGGAGGGCACCACTTGCTGTTGTGAGGACCCAAGGGGACATGGGGCAGGATGGGGAGGGCTGGGTTCTTGAATGCCCCTTGGCAGCAGCAAACAGGGCCCAGCAGAGCTGGCTAAGGGCCAGTGGCTGGCACCAGCACCCCACTGCAAGGTCCTGTCCAGCTTGAAGGGTGTCTGCCCTCCTGCTGAGTCTGAAGCCCTCAGCGTGGCCAGCAGCCAGGCTGCCCTGAAGGGAGTGGCTACCACAGAGCAGGCAAGGATAGGCTGCTCTGGGGGTGGGCCTGACTTAAGAGCAGGGTGGGCAGGTGTAAGCCAGCTGTGGGGTGCCCTCAGGAGCCCCCATGTGTCTTCTTCCTTGGAGCAAAGACCCTGGAGCTGTCGTCCAAGATAGAGACTGCCCTGGGAACCACCGTGAGCCTCAGTATGGGACAACAGGGCAGCTCAGTGCTAGTCTGAAGCCTGCCAGGGTTTGGCATCTGCACAGTAGGCAATCAGGGCTAGACCTGGGGGTGACAGCTGATTTTCAGGAAAGGAACCAAGAACAGGCCCCTGGGAGAGAGGTAGGAGGGCACAGGAGACAGTGCCAGGGGACCAGCCTGTGCTGAGCCTATGGCTTTGCCACCAGGTGGGGCCTCATCCCCAGAACCCAGGGGCCAGCACTGTCACTGTGACCACTCTGAGAATGTGGCTGGCTCCTCTCCGAAGCCACAGACCTCTGGTGTTTCATTGTACCTGCCTTGGGCCATAGGGTATTCCCATCCCTGCCCAAAGCTGTCACTGAGTCCTGGTGTAGACAGGGGAGGCTGAAATTCCAGGAACCCAGGGCTAGCTCCCTTCCTCTGGGGAGATCCTGACATAACCACCTGACTCAGGACAGGATGGAGCCCACAGAGGCCATGTCCACAGCCTGCTCTCAGGGCAGAAAGGGTCCTGAAGGCCAGCGGCAGGTGTCCTTCCCCACAGGGTCTTCAGGCTGCCCCTGGCTGCCTGAGGTGCTCTAGGTCCCTGCAGCATCTGGCCAGGGGCAGGCTAGAGGGTGGCCACACTGGCTCCAGGGACAGTCCCCTGGGCCCTGACTTTTGCAAGAGGCTTCTCCACACCAGGGGCCACTGGACCTGAGTGGCTTGGGTACCTCGGTGCTGGCCAGACCTAGGTCATCTTCTCCCTTTTGGGGGAACCACAAAGACCTTGGGGTGTGGAGATCAGGGTCAGCTGGGAGGCCTGAGGCAGTCAGTGTCCAGGCCATCCACATTGGAAGCCTCAGTCTCCCACTGTCAGCAGGAATCCAGGAGAGTCATATTCACCTGCTGACTGTGGAGAGACCACAGCACACCAGGGCAAGGAAAACCCCCGGTGACAGGTGTGTGACCAGAGACCTTTGTGACCTTGGGCCCCACAAAGGAATGCAGGATGTGGCAGATAAAATATAGAATGCCTAGTTATGTGGGAAATTCTAACTCAGTCGGTCCGCAGTATTTTCATTTCAGATAAATCACAAGTTCTTGGTGTAAACACGCATGCATATTTAGTACAAGTGTGTTGCAAATATTTTTGAGGGAAGGGTGGTTTTGTTTTTATTTCTGTAGTGCATTACATGTAAAGCCTACTGTCCGCACTGTCTTAGCACATGGCCTGAAGGCGCTGAGCACACTCACTTTGCTGGGTATCTCCTCTGCCACCCTCCCCCAGTAGCCTGTCTGTCCTGTGCTATTCGAGCTCTGTCCCCTGCAGTGCCCAACCCCAGCAGCCACCATACGCCAGCAGGCCCGGACTGGACTCTGAGGGGACCTTGTGCATGCAGGAGGGCTGTGTAGGGTTCCTGCCGCAGGTTCACACCATAAGTCGGAGTCTCCCCACCGCTGGGTCCTGTGAGTGCCTGCTTTCCCATCTTCCAATAGCTGTGAATGTTGGGGACCCAGCAGCTCAGGTATCCGTTCCGGTTCCTGCGGTATCACCGTGTCTGCTGCCCTCACATGATGGCGCCTGCAGGACCAGCAGGGCACAGCTAGAAGCACCCCCTGGCTCCCAGGCAGGCAGGTGGGGGTGCTGTCTGGGCGAGGTGTGGCAGCAGGGACCCCAAAGACCACCCACTGAGCGCAGGACCTCAGCACACAGTGCAGGCTGGCTTCTGCTCAGCCTCTGCCCAGCTGCTGAGGAACTGTTCCAGGGGAACCCAGGGAGGCTGGGTGCTCCAGACTAAGGACTTTGGGCACGTCATATCCGCTCCTGCCTGTCCCTGTCAGTGACAATATGAGACAGTACAGCTGCCGCGAAGATTAAATGATTCTCAGCCCTGCAGAGGGCTCCAGCTCCGTGTGACACAGAGTGCTGGCGCTGTCACAAGGGGGCAGATTCTCCAGGCTGTAGACTCCCCTGCCTCCTGGAGAGCCCTAAGTCCACAATGGCAGTGGGCCTTGACCTCTCATCACTGGACCACCGAGGTCCTGCCCGCTATCTGGATTGGTACCCGCTGTGTACTCAGCACCTGGTCTGCCTGGGTGCTTGGCAGAAGTGACAGAAAGCAGTGCTTCCCCGGCAGAGTTGCCCGCCACCTGGTAGGGAAGGTGGCCACTTGTGACTCAGGAAGCCCCAAAGCCAGACAGTGGCTGTGCCAAGGGGACTGGGGAGCTTCCTGGGAAGGCAAAATGAGTGGGTGCTGAGGGCAGGCCAGGAGGCGGGGCAGAGGGAACAAGTCGCAGGCCTGAGGGGCAGAGAAGGTCCCACAGGTGCAGCCTGGGGAGGTGGTCCCCACACAGTTCTGGGTCTGCCTTTGTGCTGGCCCAGCGTTACATGTCTATGCCACCTGTGTGATGGGCACTTGGCTTGCAGTGTGTCCCCTTCACAAGTCCAGGGCATAGTATAGATACGGCAGAGAGAGCGGGACCCCTCAATCTCATGGGCCTCATCAGCTCACCATGACTCCAGAGATAGGAGGGCCATGTAGACCCTCAGGAGGACAGCAGGGTCCCCTGCGCAGCTGTTGGACATGAATGTGGGTGGACCCCAGGTGAATGTTCACAGCAGCCAATGTGCTGGGGATGGGAAGTCAGGATTGAGCTTGGCTAGTGGTCAGGGTTGCTGGGAGTGAGCTAGGTGTGAGCCCTGCCCCACAGCCAGGATACAAGGCCAAGGACACAGCATACACAACTCGAGGTCCTATTCATCCCCGTGGGTGCACCACGGCCACAGCACGAGCTTGGGACACTGAAGCAGGCTGTCGTGGGGAAGGCCGGCTTGGGGGACCCAGCCATCAGGATGCCATCAGGACTCTCACAGTGCCAAGACATCCCCAGACGGGCATTTACGGCAGAGCTGCCGGCTCCAGCATCCCCAAACAGAGCGGCCAGCTAAAAGAGCACCTCTCACCTCACCCCTTAGGGCCTCCCAGCCGGAAAACCTGTGGGTGCTTTCCGTATGCAGCTGCAGACTGGCTAAGGACTGAGGAGGCCCAGACCTGCTGAGCTAAGACTGAGAAGGTGGTTTGGGGCAGGGCCGGCAGGGCAGAGTGAGGGTGTTACTGGGGAAGCTGCCTGTGCCCAGGAGGAGGGGCAGCCTTGACTTCAGGCTGGAGGGTGACCCCAGGAGGAGGTTAGGCCCAGTGCAGACTGAAGCTCCGCATGTCCTGAGGACCATGGGGACCTTGGGAACAGGTGGTTGTAGAGATGGAGTTCCAGGGGCTCAAGACTGGGAACTGGAGGGACAGGATGACCAAGGCAGCCTTTGAATGACCCAGACATCGGTGTGGATCTGACGTTAAGTGGGAGAGGGTTTTCCAGATCCGTGATCCGCAGCCCCTCTCTATTACCCACCTCCCCCATTACGTCTAAGACAGCTCTGCTACCCTGTGCGCCCCGCCCTGAGCTGGCTCAAGAGGAGGGATTGGTGGGGGTCTGCCGCTGCGGTTCCCATGGAGACGGGGGAGGGAAGGCGCGTGCGCGGCGCGGAAGCCGTCCTCTGCCATGCTACCCAGTGCGGCTGCAGTGTCTCCTCCTCCCGCCCGGTTCCCGTGGTCCGCGGTCCCTTCCGTCGGTGCAAAGGAGGCTCCGAAGGACCCGGAGCAGGCAGCCAAGCTGGATGAGCATCCCTTGCCCCGCGCTCGCCACGATCGCCTCGCCAGCCCCATCCGTTCAGCATCGGTTCCCTCTTTGGCCTGCTGTCCTGTGCCCTCTCCGCCCCTTGTGCCGCACCTCATCCGCTCCCCGCCCCCTCCCGCGTGCCGCAGCCCCCGCCTGCGCACCCCCCGCAGCCGCGCCCACTGCGGCAGCCCCTTCCCCGCCAATCGCGTCGCCTTCGCCCCGCCCCCGCCTGCCGCAGCCCCCCGCCCGCCCGCCGGGCCGCGCCCACTGCGCAGCGCCCCCTCCCCGCGCTGGGTGCGCGGCGGTGCGGACCCTGCGCGCTTCTCTGCAGCCTTTGTGCTGCCGCGAGCTGCACCGCGTCCCCTGCGGGCAGGCAGCGGCCTGAGCGGCGGACGGCTCCTTGGTGACGCTGTCACTTGGGTGAAGTGGAGGCAGGGGCTCGGGTGTCGTGAGGCTGGGGGTGCGAATCGGTAACGAGGCCTGCCTCGTGGGTGCTGGCTGATGCGTGAATGGGGAGCCGAGATGTTATGTGTCTTAGCGTGGGTCCGAGGCCCCCTTCCTGGCGAGCCATTAGGTGCTCAAGTGTGGTCCTGCTGCGGTCCCTGGCCTGGATGCAGGCTGCTTGGGAAGAGGGATGACCGCAGGAAGGAAGACCCCGGGAGTCTGGGCGGTGGACAGTGGTCTGTCCCCAGGAAAGCCGGGCAACCAGGTTTGTTCAGCAGGAGGACCCGGCGGCCACTGCAGCTTGCCGAAGCAGGCAGCAAGGTGGGCGCGGTTGGGGGTAGGGGGCACTGCTGCTGAGAGGGCCCCCATCGGCAGTGAGGCGGAGGGCCCTCCGGGAGTCCAGAGCGAGGTGGGGGGCGGGAGCGCCATCCTGCATCCCGCCGGTTGTTCTTACTTCGTTGTGGAGCTGTCTACGCTGAAGTGGGGTGATTTTGGGGCGGTGGGCCTGTTGGTACAGAGCACGTCCCAGGAGACTTAAGGGGGGTGCAGGCTTTCCAGTCTGCACCTCCCGCAAGCACAGAGGTTTGTGACGGGCCCCACGCAGCGCCGTCCCTGCACTCTCCTGAGGAGTCGCCGGATAAACAAGGTCTGTGCAGCGCTCCGGGAGAAGACACTGTCTGAATGCGGGTCTTGGCCAAGGATGGCTTTGGGATGCCTGCTGTGGGGGCGTTCATGCCCGAGGACAGGGGAGCTGCGGCTCTGTCAGCAGGTGGCAGGAGGGTGTGAACGCGAAGGTGACGCCACAGCTACTGAAGGACTCAGTGGGAAGCCATCAAGGCACCCCCAGGGAGATGCAGTGCCTGAGAGTTGGGGGAGGCTTTGGATGGTGACAGAGAAAGTACCCCAAGAAAACCTGAGAGCACCAGGACAGGGACGCGACCTAAGCCTGGGAGGGAACATTCTGGAAAGTGAAATCAGATCTAGGGAATTCAGCCAAGAGATCAGGAGAGAAGGGCACTTGAAGCGGGTGTGGCTGAGGGGCAGAGCGCTCCCCAGCAGCATGAGTTTGGCCCAGCACTGTGAGAAAAAGAAGAGGATGGGACAGACAAGTTCTGCAAGGGGCTGGTGGGGGGCACTGGCCAGTGCAGGAAGGAGGATGCTGGCACAGGGAGCTGCTGAGGGGATCACCCCCGTAGAACAGAAAAGCCCTCCCCAGGTTCCCTCCCTGGAGAAGGCAAAGGAAAGAGGAGAGCAGTGTGCACACTCGCACACACGCGTGCTGCAGGGCACAGGGACAGGCTCTCCAGGCACTGCTGGTTAAGGGCGGGGCTTGGGGCAGGAAGGTCCAGGTCAGTGGTGCCTCCAGCCCTGTCTAGGCAGCCCTCCCCCGCCTCGGGGCCCCTTTACTTTCCAGCACCGCAGTGCTGCCAGCCCAGCCAGCCCCGTGCCCCGGACAGCCAGCAAGCAGCACGGCACAGGCCTGCAGCAGGCCCCAGGGGGCAGCCTGACCCAGCCTGCCCGGTCCTCGGGCCGGTGCCCGGGCTCTGGCTCCGTGTCTTCACTCCCGTGTCTGTCCGAGGAGGGAGGGAGGGACGGGGGCTGTGCTGGGGCAGCCGGAAAGGCACAGGTCACCGGGCCGGCTGGGCGAGGCAGCCAGGCAGGGCGGGGTGGGCTGCAGGGAAGCTGGCGGAGGACCCCACCAAAATGAGCCTGCACGGCTTTGGGGACACACAGTTTCTAGTTTCCCCTAGCGACACACCCACCCCTGTCTCTTTCCTTTCAAAGGCCTGCAAGCGAAGGGGGAGTGGGGGGGGTGAAACAGTGCGCCCCCCACCGGTCGCCTCTTGCCTTTGCAGCTCAGAGGCTTAGACAGGGCCACAGGCTTCCCTCCCCCTGCTGCCCATGCCCAGCAAGCCTGGCCTGGGTCCCGCTGTCCCTGGTGAGCCATGGTGTCCCCTGCAGCCCTTCCCAGGACACACACCCAAGCACCCTCGAAACCTCAGCCATGGGTATGAGGAGGGAAGGCCACCCCCTGGGCAGCCCTGCAGGGCCCCCACTGCTGGACAGGTGTCTCCTGCTCCCATCACAGCCCTCCCCATCTGCAGCACCTGAGAGCCAAAAGTCCATCCTGCCAGGCTGCAGGGTCCACCCCTCACCCCCAGCAGGCCCTAGCCCCTAGCCTGTGTGTCCAGGGTCAACCCTGTCCAGCTGTGTACCCATAGCCTTGGGGAGGACAGGCACCCTGGGCAAGAGAAGGGACATCAGGCAGAGGGAGCAGGTGCTCAGGCTGGGCTTCCTGGGGATGAGGATGCCATGCTTGCCTCCAGCCTCCCCTTCTTCCCCTGTGCAACACTCAGGGCCCTTTGGGGAGACGCTCAAGCTTGAAAATGCCTGGGTGAGACCCAGCTTGAGACTGGAAAGCTGAAGTGTCCCCTCCCATCCCATGCCAAACCTGCTCCCTGCATGGGGTCCCTCCGTCCCTACATCTGGGCAGGTGTCCTCTGTGTCAGGCCCAAGGGCACTGAGGCTACAGCACCATCTTGAGCTCCCAGCCCAGACCGTGGGGTTCTGCCTCCCCAGGTGCTTGCATTTCTATTTCTGGGTGCTGAGAACACAGTTGCTTGGCTCTGACTGGCTCCATCCATCAGACTGTGGGCAAATTCAGCTCCAGACCTCTGTATCCCACCGAGGCCCATTTCTAGGGCCTGCATATCACCATGCAGTGCTGTCTGGAGCCAGTGACTGAGCAGAGCAGCCTGTGAGTGGCACAGAGGAGGGGACACGGTGTGTCCCATTGGGTGGGGTCACAGGTCACTGCCAGGGCCTGTGGTCAACAGCTGAGCATGTACCCCAATTTATGCCCCCAGGACTTGGACTAAGTGCTGGGTTCCTAGCATGGGCCTGGTCAGGGACACTGGTGTCCAGTGGCACCCAGCCCCCACATGCAGCACCCATGGCCATTCTACTCTGGGTCCCAGGCCAGGGCTAAGTCAGGACAGTTATGCAACACCCTCCCCTGAGCTCAGCCCTCTGCCTGCCCCACACTGGGGCTCTGCCTCTTTTCAGGCCCTGACCCCCAGGGCCCTGCCCTCTCTCACACTGTACTCCCCACAGGTGAGCACCTGCGCATCTGCCCCCAGGGCTACACCTGCTGCACCAGTGAGATGGAGGAGAACCTGGCCAACCGCAGCCGTGCTGAGCTGGAGAGCGCACTTCGAGACAGCAGCCGTGCTCTGCAGGCCGTGCTGGCCGCCCAACTGCAGGGCGTAGATGGTGAGTCTGGGGCTGAGCACGGTGGACAGGGACCCCAACGCTGCAGAGCAACAGAAGGAAAACAGTGGGCAGGGAAAGTGGAGACCCCAAGACATCCAGCAGGTCACTGAGTCACAGGGCATCTGCCACCCATGGCCCAGCTCAGAAAGGGCTCTTGGAAGCCAGGCGTGGTGCACAAACCTGTAATTCTAGCACTTGGGAGGCCAACAGAAGATCACAGAACTTCAAGGCCAGCTTGAGCTACGTAAGCAGTTCAAAGCCAACCTGTCTCAAAAACAGTGAGATCAAAAAACAAACAAAAAAGAAAGAAATTAATGGGATGAAGGGCAGATTACTGGACCCCTGTTGACAACCTAAGGCCAGAGGGCCCTGTGACCTGAGAGGGAACCCACAATCTCTGGGCCTCTGCCTCCCATCAGGAGGCTGAGGTCTTAGGGTGCTGGTGGGGCCATGTAGGGCCCATCTAGCCTCTACTTCAGCTCTGCTGACCACAGGAGCAGACCTGTACAGAGCATGGGTCTCCCTACCCACTATCCTGGTCTGCTGCCCCAGTATCCAGGAGAAGGTGGAAAAATGGGGTCCCCCAGAGTCTCACACTGCTCCCTCTGTGCTCAGACTATTTCCAGCAGCTGCTGAACAACTCAGAGCGGGCCCTACAGGACACCTTCCCTGGCGCCTTTGGGGAGCTGTACACACAGAATGCCCGGGCCTTCCGGGACCTGTACAGTGAGCTACGCCTCTACTACCATGGGGCCAACCTGCATCTGGAGGAGACTTTGGCAGAGTTCTGGGCTCGTCTATTGGAGCGCCTCTTCCGGCAGCTGCAACCCCAGCTGCTGCTGCCAGATGACTATTTGGACTGCCTGGGCAAGCAGGCCGAGGCGCTTCGACCCTTTGGAGATGCCCCGAGGGAGCTGCGCCTGCGGGCCACCCGGGCTTTTGTGGCTGCCCGAGCCTTTGTGCAGGGCCTGGGTGTGGCTGGTGATGTGGTCCGGAAGGTGGCCCAGGTGTGATGGGAACAGCCAGGGGTGGGCTGCTGAGGCACACACGGACTGGAGACAAGGGAATGAGTGAAGTACTTGGGGCTGAAGCAAATTGGGGTTCCGGAGGCCTAGCAGGGCAAGGGGCACAGGGGGTGCTCCCCGGATATGAGCTTCAAGACCTTAGTAAGTCTCCTCTCTAGCCCCTGGGTCTCAGTTTCCTCATCTTCGTGGCGTGGCGTTCCTATGTCCTAGTGGGTGGTGGCTAAGACCCTCATGGTTGTAGAATGAGTGCCCAGGGTCAGCAGGCCATCTCCAGTATCCACTTCAAGCTCCACACTGGGGCTTCAGGTGGGCTGAGGCTGCCCTCACTCCCCAGGTGCCCCTGGGTGCGGAGTGCTCAAGGGCCGTCATGAAGCTGGTGTACTGTGCCCACTGTCTGGGGGTTCCCGGTGCCCGGCCCTGCCCCGACTACTGCCGGAATGTGCTCAAGGGCTGCCTTGCCAACCAGGCCGACCTGGACGCCGAGTGGAGAAACCTCCTGGGTGAGCCCAGACCCATGCCCGGGGAGCAGACCCTGGGGTCCTGGGAAGCAGGTGGTCTCGGGTTTAGGCCTGATGGGGCCTAAGCAGGGCCACCTGGACCAGGGCCACATCTGAGGGACTGCAAGGTTGGGATAGGTTTTTTTTAATGCCCTAGGCAGTATGTGGTTTGCTTGGGGTATGTGCCCCAGGGAGCCCTGTGGGATTCTAGTTCCTTGTCCTGCCCAAATAGCCAGAGCCCCAACATGTATACATGCTAACGCATGTGACATGGGCTGCCAGCACATGCATGAGCTAATACGCATGCATTGGCATGTGGACATGTGTTAGTTGACATGTGTGCCATGTACAGTGGCCAGCATGCGTTCACACTGATGTAAGTGCACCTACACATACAACTGGCATATATACATGCCAACCCATATGTATTAACATTTGTGTCTTTTGGCATGAGATCAGTGTGTATAGATGATAGGCATGTACTTAAGTACGGTGTGAGTCAGCATGCTTGTATGACAACATGTGAAAGTTACATGCTGACCCTGAGGGCCAATATATGCATACTAGCATTGTGTGCTAATATATATTCAATGGCATGATGTGAACTGGTGAGAAAATTTAAATGTGTGAGCTTCATATATGTGTGTACAACACATGCTGTGTTATCTACGTGTAGACACACGTATGTGTTCATGGGCTGGCAGATGCAAGCCAACATGCATTCCCTGGAGCTCACAGGGGCTGGCATGTAGATGAACAGTTCATAGAGGGTGATTGTGTGTCCACATCAACACTGCATGAGCTAATGTCTAACATACGTGTGTGGACATAAGACTACAGCATGCACACACGGGTGGGTGTGTACTGTGGCTACACACAGCATGAGCTGGGCTGGCTTGAATGTGTGCACTTGGGGCCCCCTATTGGCTGCATCTTTGACTGAGGCTGCAAGATCATGTTACTAACATGGACATGTGATGTGTTTGCATGTGCGCATGTTAACGCCCATGCCAGACTCCATGGTACTCATCACTGACAAGTTCTGGGGCCCATCGGGCGCAGAGAGCGTCATCGGCAGTGTACACATGTGGCTGGCAGAGGCCATCAACGCCCTGCAGGACAACCGGGACTCGCTCACAGCTAAGGTGCGGCTGGAGGTCCTGGTGGGCATGGAGGGGCTGCCCCAACACCATCCTGGCTGGCTTAAGGGGCCCTGCTGCCCCCCAGGATCCCTGTGGTATCTCCCCAGGTCATCCAGGGCTGCGGGAACCCCAAAGTCAACCCCCAGAGCCCAGGCCAAGATGAAAAGCCAAACAGGGGCAAGCTGGTGCTGCAGGAGAAGCCCTCCACAGGTGCCCTGGAGACACTGGTGAGTGCCTGCCACCGTCCTGCTGTCCACCCCATGCCTGCATGTGGGGAGGGCAGGTGGCCAGACCACCCAGGGCTCTGAACGCTGCCCACAGGTCTCTGAGGCCAAGACCCAGCTCCTCGACATGCAGGACTTCTGGATCAGCCTCCCTGGAACACTATGCAGTGAGAAGATGGCCATGAGTGCCTCCAGTGATGACCGCTGCTGGAATGGCATGGCCAAGGGCCGGTGGGTGCTGCTGCTGTGTCCCAGTGTCACTTGTAGTAGGACTGGGGAGTGGATATAGAGGTCACGCCCTCGCCTGGGCCAGCTCCCGAAATGTTCCCCACCATGGCAGGTGAAGCCTGCTATGCGGCCCGTGGGCTGCTGTGAGCCCCCTGCAAGGGCTAGCACAGTGACCAGCGCTGCCTGTCCCACCCCCAGGTACCTGCCCGAGGTGATGGGTGATGGCCTGGCCAACCAGATCAACAACCCCGAGGTAGAGGTGGACATCACCAAGCCAGACATGACCATTCGGCAGCAGATCATGCAGCTGAAGATTATGACCAACCGGCTCCGCGGAGCCTATGGTGGCAACGATGTGGACTTTCAGGATGCCAGTGAGCACCGCTAGGGCTGGGCTTGAGCGGGCACCTTGGTGCAGAGAACCATGGGGGCCCTGTGGGGCCCTCTGCTCCCCACCCAGGGCCTGCAGCCCTGCAACCTTCACAGGCCAAGCTGCTGCTGGGCAGTGTTACTGAGCTGTGTCTGGATGGCACAGAGGAGGCCCATGCAGGTTGCCCCTCTGGGGAACCCTGGGCCTCCTGCCTATCCAGGATGCAGCAGGACCAGGGCACAGGAAGGACCTTGGGGTCCTCCGCTGGGGATGAGCTGCTGGAACCTCTTGTCCTCCACAGGTGATGATGGCAGCGGCTCAGGCAGCGGTGGCGGCTGCCTGGACGACATCTGCGGCCGCAGGGTCAGCAAGAAGAGCTCCAGCTCTCGGACACCCTTGACCCATGCCCTCCCCGGCCTCTCAGAGCATGAGGGACAAAAGAACTCAGCCGCTGGCTGCCTCAGTGCCCACACCTTCCTCCTGCTCCTCCTTCTGGCCCTGGCCCTCGCAGTGGCTGGGCCTCGGTGGCGGTAACTACCCCCCAGCCCCAGGAACAGGCCAAGGACAGACTTTGCCAAAACTCATAACAGACGATCTTTAATCCCCCATGGCCTACAGAGGCTCAGGGCAGGATGGGGGACCATGGCTCTATGTGCTGGGCAGGGTGTGAGGGGGCCCTGGCCCCCTGGGGTGAGCCTCACCTGCCACCCTGGCTTTTTTGTAATGAGGTCCTCAGGTCAGCTGTGAGCCAGTGTCCCCAAAAGCCATGTATTTCAGAGACCTCAGGGGCACCTCCTGCTACCCACCCCTAGCTCCCTTCCCCACCAAGAGCCAGCCCACCTGAGGCCTGTGAGAAGGTAGCCCTTGGCAGTGTCCCGCTGGAGACCTTGCACGAGCCTGTGCCTTCCTCTCCTGCTCCTCCTGGCTTCCGACGCCAGAAAGGGAGGCCCAGTCTCATTCTCCAGGAGCCTGCGAGCACCACTGGGATCATGCCTAGGGCTCTGGGCTTATGCATGCTGCCTTCCACTCGGCAGGGGCTCCACAGCCAGGCTGCCCCTCCTGGGTTCCCAGGGGGTGTACAGGGGTAGCACCTGGCCCAGCCATTCATGCTCTACCACTGCACTTCTGTTTGGGGTGGGGCACAATCCCCAGCACCCAGGGAAGCAGTGTGGCACTCTGCATTTGGGGGCTCACACAGGCAGGCTGGCAGTCTGCACCAGGGACCCCACTTTTGGGAAGCAGCCAGCCCCCTGACCCTATCCCACAAGACAGGGTGACCCAAACAAGGCTGTCACCCAGCCACAGGTCGGGGCTGGCTGGTGAAACTTCAGCTCAGGACTGGTGCTATCTGGCGTTGCAGGCCAGGGGACACCTGGGCTCTCCTGACCCTGCCCAGTGCAAGGGACATGGGAGTGTGACAGTCAAGGGCTTATAGATATGCGCACATGCACTCTCCCTGTCCCTATGCCCTCCTGCACAGCATCAGCAAGGCCTGAGCCCCCTGGGCTCCTGGTGCTATTTCAGGCTTTGGGACCTGGTACACCCAGCAGACCAAGGCTGTCAGGGACCTCCCCACACCCAGGCCAGCCTCCCTGCTCAGCCCAGCACTGTAGGCCCTGGGGAGGGGGTTGGAGTCAGAAGGACCTGGAGACCACTGAGCTGCTGTGGCCAGGAAACAGTGGTCTTGACCTCAAGAGGCCAGAAAGCCGCTTAGTGCTTTGCTTTGCTCGCCGTGTTGGAAAGGCCTTCCTTCAGGGGTGTCTGGCATAGCAGACCAGGGCTCTAGCCGCTCGTCAATCCCCAGCACAAGGCCGTGTTTGCTGAAATAGTTCTTAGACGTGCGGGGCCTAGACAGTTGGCTAGAGCCCTTGCTGGAGCCATGCAGGCTGGGGGCAGGAGCCAGCCGGTCACTGGTCAGAGCCCTGAGTGGACCCGCTGTATCCTTCCTCCACAACAGCTTGGCTGCCAGTGCCAGAGGTAATGTGTTGAATCCTTGTATCAATAAACAGCTGGAGACCTACAGCAGAAAGAGCTATGTGGCTGCTCTGACCCCAGCAGTATGTGTGCACGTATGTGAATGTGAGACATTCTATTTGGTGTTTGTGTGTCTGCACTGGACTGCTGAGGCCTAGCCAGGCTGCACCCTGGCTTCTCGGGGGTGGTGTAGGAGCCCAGCATAGGCTTCTTTGGGGACACCTACCCAAACCAGGCCCCCAGAGCAGCCATGGTGGCTGTTGTATCCTCATGCACATGCCCCTCCCTGAGTTCCAGGAAGCTGGTGGCCTGGCTTCTCTTGTGGGAGACAAGACAGGTGTGAGTAGGGTACCCATTCCTGGGGAGGCCCTGAGGAACAAGCAGCCTCGGGGACATAGCCGACCCCATGGGAACAGATGGGTGGCCAGGGACTCACTGTCAGGGCTTCTGGGAGGAACACGCTCAGCTGCTGAAAGTTCTTCCCAAGTAGGGATGTCTTTCCTGTCCAGGAAAGGCTGCTGCCTCGGTTCTGGCAGGATGCCAGGTCCTGTGCTTAGGCCCAACCCAGGTGGCCCCAGCCTTTAAGGGCAATCCAAGGGGCAGGCCAGGGCAAGCTGCTCCCCACGGTCACCAACTCTTCAGACCCTCATCCTCACAGGAATTTGGGAGCCACAGACCTGCTGGACAGATACCAGCCAGTTCAGCACTTTCCCAGAGCATCCCACGTTACTCGGTGGTCCTGGCTGCCCAGCACGGTGTCTGCAACACACATGCAAATGCATGGCTTGTTCATGGATGTGTGCAAACTTGCACACTCATTCACACATATGAGGTGTAGTGTTTGAATCTTTAGGGAAGTGCAAATCGAACCTTGACACCTGCTGGATGTTAGGGTGGCCACTGTACAGGGGTAGTGCAATGATCCAGGGTGACACAGGTGGGGAGGAAAGGGGACCTTGCACACTTATTGAGACTACAAACTGCCTTTGAGGCAAGTTCCTCAAAGTTTAAAACTAGCGCTGCCATGTGACCCACAACCCAACAGTGGAAGGACACGAGGTGGGCAGCCTAAGCACATGTCTACCGTCCTCTTAGGCTCACTGCAGAGTCCTTTCCTACGGCCAGATGCAGACTCCACCTACAGGTCTGTTGATGGATGAATGGCTGAGAGCATGCACTCTGTATCTGATGGAAATTTCCCAGAAGAAATTTCTCAGTTTGCAGCACAGATGAAGCTGGAGGGCGCAAAGGGAAGTCAGCCAGACACGGAGACGAGTGCTATGGGAGCTCACTCACTCACAGGCCCTAACCCACTAGTGCTCAGGAGCTGACAGGGTGGCTGCCAAGCCCGGGGGTGGTAGGAAGCAGATGTGCTGGGCGAAGGGGGCCAAACTTTCATTTCTAGTGGTCAGGTGCTGGGGATCTGGGATGCAGCGTGGGGACTCTGGTTGGTAACACATTAATATTCACTTGAAATTTGTTGAGAGAAGCCAGAGGTGGTGGCGCATGCCTGTAATCACAGCATTGGGGAGGCTGAGGCAGGTTGGAGGCCAGCCGGGGCTATGGAGTGAGTTCAAGTCCAGCTGAACTACATGGCGAGACCTTGTCTCTAGAAGACAGTGGAAAAAGTAGCAGCTGAGAGGAGGCTACACTGGTTTGCATGTGGTCACTGTGCCTCAGGCTCCCAGCAAACTAAGCACAAAGCAGGTGGGACTTCCCAAAAGATCTGGACCCTACTTGACAGGAAAGAGTCTCCCATGAGAAGAGCAGAGAAAGACAAAGACCACCTCAGCACATGCACAATGTGGAACCGTCACACGCACAGACGGATTCCCCTGCTTGGTGCTGTGCTGGCCACTAGAACTGCAAGACCTCCTGGGAGCGCCAGACATGGAATATAAAGCACAATGCGCTCAAGGACACACAGTTGACTTACTGGAATTTAACCAGAGGGATGGACAGGCCCTGTGTGTGCAGCCTCCTTTAGACCAAACCATTCAGCTGGGCCTCGACCTACAACACTGGAAGGTACACTTGGCCACCCCGAGGGGCACTCAGGCACTATGCACTGAGAGCAACAGGGCAGGTGGAGGGCATAGGGCTGTACCAACTGGATGTCAGGATCTCGGAGAAGGTGCAAGTATGTGCCATGCTGAGGCACACACGTGCAGATGTGGATGACAGCAGTATGTGCCCCAAGACACTCTGAGTGCCCATCCTCAAATACAGAGACAAAGATGATGTTCAGGATTATTTTTGCCTTCATGTACTTTCCCAGCACTGAGCACGTGTTCCATACATACTCGGAACACAAAGGAAGACAGCACTTTTCATCTGGGAGGTGTGATGCCACAGAACAGGGCACTGGAGGCTGCTCGCCGCCGCCTTTAGGGCCTGCGAAGCACATCTCCGAGTTTAGATTTACGCGTGGCTGTCTGCCCGTGTGCCTGTGAGCCAAGACAGGAGGGTGGCGATAGAGCACGTGGAGATGGGTGACTCAGGTCTGCGTCTGCTTGCTTTGCTGTGCACATATTCCTGGCTTTTAGTAAAAATGAAGGATAACCTGAAACTCGAAGCGCCGGGAGCAGGGCATGGGTGGACACAGCGGTGGCTCTGCAGCTGCGTCTCCGCCTGAGTCCTTGCCAGCATAGCCTGGCTGGGCAGCAGCTCTCCTATGGTGACGGCAGTTACACCAGGGCACAGGCTGGCTCCAGCTCTGCGTGGAGCCCCCATGTGAGGAAAGCCATCCAGCTCAGGGCGGCACCCTCTCCTGTGAGCAACTCCCTCTCCTTCTGGGGCCCTGCCCAGGGCACCCCAGCACTCACTGCCTGGGCTATACTCTGCCCTGGCCCACCTTCCTCTCAGGTGTGCTGTCCCCAACACACCCCTTGGTTGGGGGAACCCTACTGCCCCTCACTGCCTCCTCCCTCCTCCAAGGAAGGACTCTGAGTCTCTGTCTTCACAGCTCCGCCCCAGTCCTCTCCCCTCCCCATCCCAGCATTTCTGCATACCCAGTGCCCCCAGGACACATGAGGTACATGAGGAAAGGGACATGGACCCTGCGAGGAGCCAGGAGCCCGGGAAGGCACAGGACAGCAAGAAAGAAAAGGCACCCATGACGAGAGCCCCTGCATGGCTCTGGGAACATCCCGGAACCCACCCCAGTGGTCACCACGTGTGCACAGAGCCCTGATCCTTCATCTGCTTTTACCTGAAGGACAGTGCATAGCCAGGCCAATGGGAAGCCAGCGAGGTGGGCAGCCAGTGCTGGGCCTCAACCCCAGTAGGGACAGGATAGGGCACAGACCTTAGGGCACACACCATGACCACTTTATTTCATGGGAGGTGGGAGATCCTGCCATACAGCCACAGGGTGCAGAGGATTCCTGCCTAGGTCCTGCAAGGCCAGAGATGACCAGTGCACAGGTGAGACATGGACAGGGTTCAGGCCCTCCCTAGGCCCCAGCATCAGGCACTGCTCCTTCACTGAGAGTCTCCTGCCCTCCCGTTGGTATTCTCAGGAAAGCCGGGCACTGCACGAGAGAGGCACAGGGAGGAGGAGGGTCAGGCCTTGTTCTCTGTGCCCTGCACACCCCAGCACCCATGATGAGAGCCCCAAGGCTGGGCTAAGGGTGCACCCACGTGTGCAGTAGCCCCATCCTGGGGCACCTGGGAGAGCGCCATGGGCAGGTCCCCGGTACACAGGGCCTGTGTTAGAAGCTCACTTCCCAGAGGCTGAGGTGGAGGTGCATGGCCAGCAAACTCAGGTCAGGGCCTCCACCCACAGGGGGCTCTGAGGAGGCCCTGTGCCCCTCCACATTTCCATCCTCAGGCCACTCCCACTGCACAGGATGCCTGCTGTGGCTCAGGGTAGAGGAGGTCAAGGGGAGTCTGGGGCTCCACACACCAGCCCTGTCAACCCTGCACAATGGGGCCAAGAGTCAGGCTGTGGATGGTTCCCACATCAGCCATGGGGCCACAAGCTGCAGCCTGGGGACAGCAAAGCCCACAGGTGGCTGTAGAGCCTGTGGCACCTTCGCCCCAGTGGCCCAGCTGGAGCCTGAGAAGGACGTGTGTGCCCCCTGCCCCTGATGCCCCTTGCCTGACTCCTGCAGACCCATGCTCATCTTCTGCCGGCCCGGCCCACCCATGGCCATCATTTCATTGCAGTCCTTCTTGTGGAACTCTGTCCAGGCTCTGGACTTGCAGTTCTTGCTGCAGGTCAGGATGCCGTAGCAGCGGGCACAGGGAGTGAGGCGGACACCAATGGAGCGGCCACACTGGTAGCAGAACTTGAAGAAGGGCGCCCTGCATGTGACAGACAGGCAGTCATGTGGGGGCTCGACCAACTCTGCCCTGAGCTCCCAGAGGATCACTGCTGTCCCCAAGTCGGGCAGCCACCACATGTGGACAGAGGGCCAGTCGGTCAGCGTGGCCCCTGAGTCATGGAACAGTGGTCAGGGCTGGCCCTGGGACTGTATCTGTCCCTTTGGGACCACCATGGGGCACACTGGGGGGCTTAGAGGTTTCCCAAGCACATGGGGCAGCCACGTGGTTCTGGTGGGGAACCTGGTACTCATGACAGAAGAGCCCCAGTCTCCGCCCATCTGGCCCTGTCATCCTTCCTGTCCCTTCACTGGGTTCCCCAGAATGAATAGTTTGGATGTTCCCAGGAGACGGGCTCCCTCTGCCCCTCACATGTGGAGGCTACTCCCCAGCCAGACCCCAGGAGAAGCTCTGTTCTCCACGGGTTGCCCTCTCACATGGGTGTGAAGCCTGCCTGTGGGCCGTGCGTGGAACCACCTGGGTGAGAGAGCAGGACTGTCCCGGTAGGGGGTGCTGGACCAGACCCAACGGCACCATCCAAGCCACAAGTGGCCAGCACCACTGCATCACACCCCAAGGACCTGGCTGCACACTCACATCTCCTGTCCCTCTGTGTCCAGGGCCTTGGCCAGGCTGGAGCTTCTCTTCTTCATCCTCTGTCCAGGGTACAGCTCCGCTGCAGCAGAGGGAGGCAGCGTCAGCAGCCACAGCAGGGCCATGCACTTGGTCTGAGCCCCTGGGGATTCCTGCAGCCCCTTAGGGATCACCTTCACATCCCCAGGGCTCTCTACTGTCCCCCCAGGATTGCCAATGTCTCTCGCATCTCTCTGCTCCTTCCCCACTGCTCTCAGAGCTGGCCACATTGCTGCTGGCTCCAGTGTGCATCCTCCATCCTCCATGGGACTGGCCTTGGCTCCTGCTTGCTCCTGTTCACCTCCATCCCGAACAGCCGGGCCTCTCCCAAATGGCTTCCTTCCGGGACTATACTGAGTTTGCAATCCAGAATTAGATTTGGTGCTTTCCTGCTAACTTCTGCTCCCTCGTGGATATCTTCTGCGTGACAAGGCCTTGCCCTCCTGTCTTCCTTTTCTTCTCTAAGTGCTGGTTCCCTTCATTCTTTGAACACATTAACAGCTCCTCCACAGTCTCTTCCTCTCAAGCCTGGCCCCTGCTGTCCCTCGACAGATTGTCCTGCCCCCATCCTGCCACCCCACGCTTGGATCACACTCTCCTAAGATGCGTGGAAGTGACACTGGAGAAAGTCCACTGGGTGCTTCCGGTCCTGTCTCCTCGATGCCCCGGGCACTGGTGGAGTGCCACCTTTCCTCCCCACCCCAGTGTGGCCTCTGGGCGCTGTTCCCCAGGCCTGCAGCCTGGTCAGCCTGGACTACAGTGCTTGGGAGATCACTCTGTCTCTGCTCACAACCACAGGGGGATGCAGATATGATCTGCTGACCAAGGGCAGCCATTGCCATGGCTTTATAAACTGTTCTGGAACGCACACCCCTCCTCAGACAGAGCTGAACAAACCACACACTTTCAAGGGCAAAGTCCAACAGGTCATGTTTGCAATTTGTTCTGATCTTGGCCCTGCCCCACCTCACTCCTTCCCTGGTCCTCTCCAGCCATGCCTCCAACAGATCTACCATCTCTTCCCAACTGCTTGCACCAGTGAGCATGCACTATATTCACTATGTCAGAACAAAGCGTGTTTCTGTGTCAGACTCTCAATTCCATCAGGCGGCTGTCAGAGCAGAGGTTGTGGAGGTGGCAGGGATATGGTAGTGCCTCCAGGAGGGGTGGGGAGAAGGGGGCAGTCAGTACAAGTCTTCCCAGAGTGCCCACTTGGCCTGGACTTGAGCCACTGCAGGGAATACAAAGCCTGGTGCCCTTGGGCCCATCACACCCCAGCAGAGCCCAGGTCCCACCAGTGGGAACCGTGGGTGACACGGTTTAGAAAGTGGGTTAGAAAGTTCCTGTCTTGGCCACTTTCTTCATCACCAAGATATAAAACTAACACCCACGACTCCAGGAAGGAGAGGTTTATTTTGGCTCATGGATATAACTGCAATCAGCAGCTCTGAGGCAGGACAACACGGCAGAGGGTCTGGCGGAGGGGAGCCACTTGGGGCATGGTGAACAGGAAGCACAGAGCAGAGGGAGGAGCTGGGAGGGAGAGGACCCCTTCCAGGCCACACCCCCAGCAAGTCAGCTATGGGCCTCCCGTGATTCCCCGACTTCTGAGTTCCTGAGGTTTTGTAGGGGACACCCAGATAGAAACCCTAGCAATCCCCTGAAAGCACATGTGCCCAAGGCCTGGCACCAGTGTGGCAACATTCAGAGTGGGGCCTTGGGAAGGCAATGGGGTCATGAGGGCTGACTCAAAATATATTAATCCATTTAGGGAGCCACAATTTATGGGCTTGGGGCAGGGCGTGCATAAAAGGGATCTCCCTCTCCCTCTCCCTCTCCCTCTCTCTCCTCTCCCCTCCTCCACCCCTGCTCTCACCACTCCGTTCTTCTCCCTCCCCCTCCCCCCACTCCTTTCTCTCCCTGGACCCTCTCACCTCCCCTCCACTTTCCCCTCTCCTTCCCAAGCACAAGGTGAGCCCCTCAGCCTCACCAGTTGCTCCCCACCCACCGCCAGCCTCACCACAGAGCCAGTGACAGGGACTAAAGCCTCTGAAACCATGGGAATCTGTCTTCTAGGTTGGTTTCTCAGTGACAAGAAGTTACACAGAACCCCCACCTCTCAGCCAGCAGGGGATGCAGAAGGCCACACACCCCAGGATGCAGGGCATAGCTATGTGGAGCGGAGCAGGGTTTCCACAGGGAGGCAGAGGGGAAAAGTGTACCTGTGGTACAGTAGCACAGGGTGTGACATGGCTGCGGAGGATGTGGGGTAGGGGCAGCTGGGTGTGCAGGGAGGTGCATGTGGCCTATGCGAGTGGTGGGCACACAGATAGCTATGCATGGGCTAAGAGCAAGCATGCGTGTGCTTGTGTATGCATGCATGTGTGGCGGGCAGTGTACATGGGACCTGGGGCCCGCCTGTGGGGAGGGTGCCAGAAGAAGCACAGGTTTCTGCAGGGCATGCACATGGTGAGAGGGCTAGGGGAGAAAAGCGCTGTCCATGCAGATGTGAAGGGTGGCAGGTGATGCGATGGCAGGTGATGCCCACACGGGTGGATGTGCTCAGGGTGGGCAGTGGAGGTGGGGGTTTCGGGGGGGAAAGGAAGCAGAATTGGGTGCACTGTGGAGCGTGTAGGGGCTGCATGCTGGGGCACATGCCTGGAAGTGCACCCTGCACATATACGTACCTTTCCTGCTCTGGCACATCACCTTCCTGTCCCACTCCTGTTCCTTGGCAAGCACAGCACGCCGCAGCTGCAAGCCCATGTGCTCCAGGAGCCTCTTCCGGGCCAGGAGGGTCTCCCGTTCAGATGGCAGCAGCGCATGAAAGGGGAAGTGGGCAATCTTCCGGTCCTGTGGGGCACCACAGGGCCTCAGCACTGCCCCCAGCCCTGCGGGTGCATCCCCAGGGTCACCCCAGCCTGTACTGTGCTGTCTCCATCCTTGGTAACCATAAGGACACCATGAGACACATGCCCACAAGACATGTTTACCATGCCAGGGTGGCTGCAGGGCCCCCAGCTCTGCCCAAGAGAACTCCAGGTCCCCATAGGCCCCGCTCAGGACCAGGCCATACCTGGAAAAACTTGAAGTAGCCATAGTCCACTGCTGTGCCCACTGCGGTCTTGTCACCCTGTGTGAGCATCACTGGCTTCAGGATGTCGGCCCCGTGGTCCAGGAGCCGGTCAATCTGAGGGGACAGAGCCTGTCAAACAAACAGGGCCACCCAGGAAGCCAAGGAGTCACCCTAGTCATGGGGCTGGTGCACAGGTCACAAGGCTTATGGCTTCCAAGTCCTGAAGACAAAATCACTATAGAGGGCAGCCTGGGGCCCCGCCCCACTGGAAGCAGGATGTCCAGGAGGGGGTCTGCAGGAGTACATCTCTAGGAGTGTGGGACAGTTGGAGATAAACAGACTAAAGGGGTGAGAAACCAGGGCCCTCACCTTACCAGATAATCCCAAACCCATTGTCTGCCTCCGCCCAGTGCTGAGGTCCAGGCTCCCACCCTGCCCTCCTCATCTGTCAGCCATGAAGCAAAGGTCAGGGGAGTCCTAGGCTTCATCTTGCCTTGAAGGTGCTCAGAGAGCCCATGTATGCATGCATGTATGGGTTCATATATGCACCCACATCTGTGGGTGTGCACAAGTGGTGTGTCGACCATAAGCATGCATGTGTGTGCAGTCATATGGGTGTGACATCCAGCAAACTCTCCCCAGCAGTGGCGGAGCACTGACTGCACAGAGCACAGGGCACCACAGACACCCTGCTGGCAGCTGGCACGGCAGGAAGCAGGCTCTGCCCAGCCCAGTGCAAGAACTAAGCTGCATGGAGGACAGACACTGAGATTGCATCCCCCAGTGGGAGCCCCAACCCCAGAGAGAACAGTCATCACGGGGGACCAAGCTGCCCCTCAGAACGGAAGGAACCTGCAGGGCATGGAAGCACAATTAAGATACTGACCACCTGGTCCGCCCGCCTCGGCTAATCCTGAGACAGCCATGTGCTTCTGTGGGTGCAGTCAGAACCCGTATGCCATAGTGAACCCTGAGCCACTCCAGTGGGCTCAGCCCCTTTACCCTCTCTTCTGACCAGTGGCTCTGCCGGTGCCTCACCCCCAACACATTCTGGAATTTTTTTTCAATGACAGAGTCAAGAATCTACCTGAGGGCTGAGTTGAGGTCCCTGTCTCCTCTTTGGGGGCCCCCTCAGGCCCTGACTGGTGACAGTGTCATTGCTTAGTGTCCCTTAGGTGGGACAGGCTCCGTGGGTGGTCCAGCCTGCTGCCCCCAGCCCCATGGGCCCTGCTGTGCCCCTCACCAGGGTGATCTTGTTGTCTGTGCTCCTCTGATGCTCATAGGCCAGGTCGCAGACGACACATAGGGCAGTGCCCAAGCCTCTGGTCAAGGGCAGGTTGGGGTCAGCTCCGCAGGACAGAAGCTCCTTCACGATCTGGATAGGCAGGCTCCTCAGCAGCTGGCCTGTCACCTCCCTCACAGGTCTCCCTGAGGCCACCCCAGGCAATGATGCCCAGTGCTGCTGAGGACCACCCAAGGACAGGAGGGGTCATGCGGTCAGCCCCAAGGCAGACCCAGTTCCTGCACTTCCTCTGGGCATTTCCCAAGGGTGCAGTGCTCTGAGGGTCCTGGCCCCTCTTGCTCTTCAGCATGGGGCAGAGCCAGGTCCAAGGGCGGCTCCTCTCCTCACGGGATCAGGACATCCTCACTGGCCCCTTGGGCAACTCTGCTTCACTGAGCTCTTTTGTCTTCCTGACATCTCCTGCTGCCTGAGATTGCCTTGCACACTGGTTACTGGCTGGCTTCCTCAGCTAAGATGTGTAGGGCCTTGCTCTATTCCAAACCTGCCCACAGTGGTGCCTGCCTGACACAGGTGCACAGTGAGTGACAGTTAAACAAAAGGAGGGATGAGCGAGTGGAATGTGGGTGATGGGAATGGATGAGTGCAGCAGGTGGGAGGGTGGGTGGGTGATGGCTGAGGGGACCTGAGCCTGGGATGATGCCTACCTGCCCACATAGCTGCTTAACAGATAATTAAGTGAAAGGAAGGTTGGGCAAATGGATCACAGGTGGGTGGATGCGGAATGGATGAGTGAAAAGATGGTGGTGTTCCAGTGGCTGAACAGCTGGATGAAAGAACAGACGAGGGGAGGAAGGAGGGTGCAAACAAGGTTGGGCACATCTGTGGCTGGAAGGAGTGAGTGGATGAATGGATGGATAGATGGATGAATGGATGGATGGATGCCTGGACAGAGTAGATGCATGGATGGATAGAATGCAACCAAATGGGCAGACGGGCTAAAGGACAGGAGGGTGGCTGGGCAGATGAACAAGCCACACAGGCCCAGGTCCCTGGGCACAGAACACACTCACCAGGTCGTTCCCACTGGCGATGGACAGGGAGAGAGGGGAGTGGCCACTCCACAGCAAGTTGGGGTTCGCCCCGTGGGAGAGAAGGAGCTGCACGACATCTCTGGCACACTATGGGAGTGGGGGCAGAAATCTGTCAGGTTAGAGAGGCCCCGTGCTGAGGAATACTGAAGGGCAGTTAATGCAAAGGCCACGCAACCCACAGAGCCATGTCGATGCCTGCCAGGGCACGGAACTGTCCAGGTGTGGTGACCTCAGAAGAAGAAAGATGTCCCCTGAGGAGTGGAAGCCAGGAAGGAGGCCAGGGACAGGCAGGATTGCAGGGCTGCATCAGAACAGCTGACCCCGTAGGCGCCAAGGGGAGGAATGTCCCTCACCAGGGTCCGAGGTCCTGTGTGATGACCCCACCTGGGCTGCCAGGCACCGCCCACATGGGGTGGGGGTGTCCCCAGCCTCAACCCCAGTCCTGGCCTGGAAGTTTCTGCCTTCTCCTGCCCCCTCAGGACCACCCATCTTGCTGCCCTTTCCCCTTCCTCTTATCCCCTGAAGTACTCATGGCAAGTGGCCCCACCAGCTCTCCCGCTGCAGGGATACTCTCTAGGTTCCACCAGGAGCCCTCCACTGGGCCCACTCCCCCTGGAGAGCAGACACTGGGGCCCAGAGACCAGCCTGCATCTCACTCTTGTTCCCACAGCCTCACAGGAGAAAAGCTGCCCTTCTCCTCTCCTTGCTGAGATGCAAATGTGATGACTGGGCAGACTGCAGCCTCCCTACCTTCACAACCAGCATCTCATGTGGCTCCTGCACACATGTGCACACACATGTGGGCACTCATGCATCTCCCAGGCACACACACATACCCATGCTGCTGTGCACACAACAGCTCACACAGACACAGGACACCAGGCTTCACTTGCTGCCAGGCCAAGAATCCTCTGACCCAGGAACGCCTGGGGCTCAGCACATCAGTCCCCCTGGCCCGGCCCCTTTCACCCTCCTCACCCATACTGGCCATGGCTCAACTTTAACAGGAGAACACCCCTCCCTCCTGACAGGCAGCCCACCAGCCCAGCCCAGCCACTCACCTTATTATTGTCCTCCCGCTCGCAGGCCACGTGCAGGGCCGTCCTGCCGCCCTCTTCCACAACTTGAGTGCTTGCCGTGTAGTAGATGCTGGGTGGACCTGGCTCATTGCTGAGCTTCAGGCTTGAGGGCAGCAGCTCCATCTGTGGGCAGCGTAGAGCTCGTCAGCCACAGCCACAGGCCCTGCCACTTACATGCTTCCACCTCATGCTGCAGGGAGCTTCCCGAATTGTGGCCACTCTGTCCCTGCCCTGAACCACCCTGAGGCCACCCTGCGACCTCCTCTCAAGCCTCACACACGTGGGTGTTCCCAATACTGTGGCATACTCAGGGGGCTCCATGAGGCTCTGTGGCCAGAGTAGAAATAAGGTGTGGTTCACAGGACGGCACACAACTGGGACACAGCTGAGGGACTGGGAAGTCCCTGTCAGCACCAGAGCTGCCCTTGCAGGTGGCATGTGAATGAGGGGCACATGTTCCCCATGTGTACTTGTGCCAAAGCCCCACCTGTGGCCTCCCAGCAGCACCCAGGGAGCCTCGAGGCTGTGGTTGTCCTGCCTGAATCCTTCCCAGGCCACCTGCAGGCAGTGGGTATCAGCCCTACTGCAGTCTGCCTGCCCTACTGCCCAGTGACCACAGTTCTTGGGGTCTCTCCCCAATGACAGGGACCCAGGCTGAGGCTGTAGCAAGGTCCTGGCCACCGCTTCCCCTGCCCAGGGGCCCTTGAAGCTCAGGCCCCTCTTCTGAGAGCCACAGGTCAAGGACAGGGACAAAGTGGTGGCAAGAGGCCTGCCCCACTGCAAAGGGAGTCAGGAGCAGCAGCAGGGCTGGCCAGGACAACCCCACCCAGTGGACAGCAGGGCTTCTGCACAAGGCCAGTCTTGGGGACACGCTGGAAATGATCTAGCCATGATGGTCCCCTTCCAAGATATACTGTGGGACCCCCTAGCCCAGCAAGGACTCTCAAGCTCTGCTGAGCTGCCTGTTCCACAGATCCCTCGGCTGCTGGCTCCTGTCAGGTATCTCTGCCCTTGACTTCCCCACAGGCATGCAGCTAAGCTAAGCTCTCTCAGGCCTGCCCAGCCCAGACTGTTCCCCTACCCTCGAGCCACAGGAGCACACCTTGCCCAGCTTATACACCTCATCCTGGTCAGCCGCCTTGGCATCCACGTCGGTGATGGCATGGAGTAGCAGCTCTGTGATCTTGATGCCCTCTTCCCCTGGGAGGGCGGCAGCAATGTGGAGCGGGGTCAGGGCCCCCAGCTGCAGAGGAAGCACAGGTGGGTGAGGCAGGCAACCCTGGAGCAAGGCAGTTGAGAGCTCAGGACCCCAGATAAGGGCAGATGCCAGGGGCACTGCAGCACAGCCTGAAGGGGAGGATGCGGCCCTTCTAGCCCCTGTCTGAGGTTCCCACAGCACAGCCCCACAAAGTACAGGACAAGAAGCCTACAAGGAAGAGACAGGAGAATACCCTACTTGAGAATGATGGACCAAAAGTTCTCAACACACCATGCCAGCCACACATGCCCAGAGCCACATAGCCAAATGCTAGGCCTGAATCAGAATGACTTACACCTTCCACTAAGAAAAGTTCCCTCCGGTCCCTGCCAGAGCCTGGCTCAGACGCCACCACTGTGCCAGTCATGTAGGTCCTGACCTGCCCACTCTCACCCACAGCATCCTCTGGCCATCAGTTGGGCATCTGCAGGACCATGCCCAGGTCCATGTGACATTAGCTGTGGAAATGCTGAGACCTACAAGCTACCACACACCAGCCAGTGTGCAGGGGGGTGGCAGAGAGGAGCTGGGGTTCTTGTATGGCTTTAGGGGTTTTTTTCTCATTGTCTTAGAGTAAGTGCATAGTCAGTCTAGAAAACTCGTGCTCTGCCTCCATCTCTGCCAGCCAGAGCACTGACACTCAGCATGTCATCAGACAGACACACCACACTCCACTGCCACTTCAGGGGTCCGAGTAGAGGTCTGTACCCTCACAATTCTTTGGAATTCCTGCTCCACATAAATGGGAAGGAGCTCCCACCTTGCCACAACCAAGATCACCACCCTGCTGTCCAAAAGCCTGGCAAGGCACTGCAGGAGGAGTGGCCCCCTGCCACACCTACAAGAGCACAGTGGGTGGTATTTGGGCCTTCCACAAAAGGGGACATAGAGATGACCAGCAATGCTATGGTGTGAAGATAGGGTCCCCTGAAAGCCCATGTGATGAAGGCTGGTCCTCAGGGTGGTGCCACTGGGCGAGGTAGCCTTTGAGAAGTGAGGCCAGGAGAAGTCCTCAGGTTCTGCTGTGGGTGTGGGTAAACACCCTGCTGTGGGTGTTGTGGCACAGATCCACAGGCTTGTAGCCTGGATGGGTAGAAAGGGGAAAGGAAAGCAGGCTTGCTGCTGCTCGCTGCCTCCTTCCTGCCCTACCATAGACTATTTTCCCTCTTCGATGCCCCTCTCTCATGCCACCCTGCCTTGGAGCCAGTCAACAATGGACTGAGACCTCTACCAACTGTGATCTACAATAAACCTTTCCCCCTCTACCTCTGGATGTCAGCTATTTTGTCTCAGCAATGAGAAAAGTAACCAAGATAGTAAAACCTTCTCCCTTTACAGGTTAGTTCTATTATGAAGGTCTAACATGGTTGCTAACATGAAGGTCAAACAAGGAGCTCAACTTCACCACCACCAGAAGAAATACAAAATTAAGCCATACTGAGGTGCCAATCTCTGCCCCCAGGAGGGGATGGGCTGTGAGGAACAAAGGACACCTGCCTTGCTGGGGGGTGGGTAACAAACACAAGTCCCAGCAGGGATACACTCAGCCAACAGGACCACTGGGAACTTGCTCACCTAGCAGTAACTGCCAGTGGGCTAGGTCTCAGTTGGTTTATTCATGACAATTTTACTTCAGCAAAGATGCAGGCAATGTCAGATACCACCCAGGCGGAGGAACTGCCCAAAACTGTGGGGTGACTTTCTATGCTCTGCCACAAAAAGTTCCCCTAGAACAGTTACATAAAGAAATAAATGCTGGAGGTACAGGTCGCCAGCATACCGGGGAGATGGGACACGGCACAGCCTGCACAAGCAGCCCTGGCCTGCTCCATGGGCAGAGTCCCAAGGTTCTCAGCCTGAGATTTTCTCTCCAACATTTTTCAAGTTGGGTTCCGACAAGCCCTAGTCTAGCAGTCAGTGAACCGACACAAGGCCTTCTTGCTTATCCTACAGGGACCTGCAGGGGATCTTGCTCCAGCCTAGATGTTTCTCCTCCAGACTTCAAACAGCCAACTACTATCAGGATTCGGGCAAATGGTAAAACGCTAAAGTGAATGAAGACCATCAGTGCGAGCCTTTACTTGTCGGCACACCTGTTTCCTCTCCCCACCACCAGAGCAGCTAACAAGGGACCTGGGGACAGACACCAAAGCTCAGCCTCCGCTACTTCTCTCCAGAAGGAAAAAGGAGCCGGGCCAGGGCTGCACACACCCCACCCCAGAGCAGGGAAATTCAAGGGAGCCAGGCCCTGTGCCCAACGTAGGTGCTTGCAGAGCCACATCCCAGAAGATGGAAAAGACATGGGCCAGGCAGGAGGTGCTGCTGCCCCAGGGGACAGCGCAGGAGCCGGAAGAAGTTTGAACAAGCAAAGTCCACAGAGTCAGGAGACCACAAAAAAAGCCTATGGAACCGAACTTCCTCCTTTAGGGGGCACTTTCTCTAAGCGTGAATCACCACGTAGCAGCGCCCATATGGGGCAAGTCCACCAGGAGGTGGGTGCTGAAGCAGCCCTGCCAGACACAGTCTCCAGGCTGGGCAGGAGCAACAGAGGACAGTGTGGAGGAACCGCAGAGATGTCCCCAAAGGAAGCGTAAGTCAGACACACACAGTTCCCTTGACAGTAGGAAATCTGTGGCTTTTCTCAACTAAGGGTGTTACTGGCTGCATCTGCCAGGTCAAAGACAGAACCTTCAGGCTGAGAATTGTGCTCAGCAACACCTGTCTCTCCACCTGCTAAGCCAGAGCCCTTGCTCCCCTGTGTGAGGCTCCTTAGGAAGCTCCTCCCTGAGCCTGCCTCAAGTCCTCAGAAGTCACTGACACCTTCCCACCAAGAAGTCCTAGTGCATGGGCCCTGCAGGCTGAGTGGGAAGGGCCCGGGGCCTCGTCAGTCCTGGATGACTGTGCCTCCCAGGGTGAGTGCCTACGTGGGGTGGGTACCGGATGTCAGTCCTGGCCCCTCTCTCCAGCAGCAACTGCACCCCATCCACATCCCCGGCCTTCACAGCGAAGAACAGGGCTCGCATGGGCACTTGGCACAGGTTGGGGTCCGCGCCTCGGTGCAGAAGCAGCTTGATGGTCAGCCACCGGCATCTGTGTCTGTGGAGATGGGGTGGGGGATGCTATCATCTCCTTGCATGGCCCAGGGCAGGTGCTTTCCGAGGGGAAGGTTGACCAGGAAGAGCACTGGCCCTACAAACAGCTGAACTCAGCACTCACAGCATTGTCTGGAAATGCCTAGGTCACCTCCTTCCAGAGGCCCTGGTTCCTACCCCAGGGGAAACAGCAAAACTGCTGTTACCAGCCAGTCCCTGCTGTGCTCCAGACCTGGAAGGGGGGGATCACTCATGAGCAGGGGCACAGGGTGAGTGCCCTATGTGAGACCATGATCATCCAGTGCGGAGTAGCACCCAGCCCCATCTGGGAAGTCACACCCCATATGCTCCACATACACATCATGCACACATCCGCACACCCCACATGCCACACACATGCCTGAACACACTGCCCGGTTGTTGCAGGGCAAGGAAGGGTGTCCACCAAGCTCAGACTGCCCTCGGGCTGCAGTGGCTTACTCGACCATGGACCACGCCATCCTCCTCACAGTCCCCTGGTCTGGGGTGGTGGGGCCTTGCAGTGTGCTATAAGTCTGGGCACTCTTCTCCAGCAGGCCCCTGGTCAGCTGAATGGAGTAGTTGTGCACACAGACATTGGAGTCAAAGCGCATCTCGCTGCATGTGGGGGACGTGTCCAGGCCTTCTGGCACAGCCTCCAGCCTTCTCTCCCTGTCACTGACGATGCCTTGCCCTGAAGGGAAACTGGACTCTGAAGACTGCAGAGTGCCCAGGGCCGGCTCATCCTCCTGGCTGCCAGAGGTGTGTGACAGCAGCTTCTGCTCCCTGCTGTCTGGGCCAAGTTCCACCACCTCGTAGGTGGACTCCACATTTGTCTCCACAACCAGAGGTGAAGGTTTGGGAATGAGGAAGGGCTTCAGGTTTTCCTTGAAAAATACCCAAAAGAGTACCATTAGGAGAAAGAAGAAATGGTAGTAGCTCATCCAACAACTGTCATCAGCAGCCCCAGCACCGTCTTGGAAGGGGATGGAAGTGGCTTTGAGGTGTGCCTCTCTCACCCTCAGAGAGGAAAGGGAAACCTGGGCAGCCACCACCCAAAACCTGAGGCTCAGCCAGTCACAGGCTTTGGACTGAGGTGCCCCCACTCTTTCCCTGGCCCCTGGCACAGCCCATCCAGTACCAAGCAGTGCTGTCCCTGTCACAGAGAGCCCCGGGCAAACATCTCACTAGCATTCTTCTTATACTGATTACCAGAAGACAGGACCTTATTTTGGATTCTTTAAGCTGAATAAAACACACTATTAAAATTATTGTCAGCTGATTTACTTTTTAGTGTAGCTTCAGGAAACGGCTGAGGGGGGGGGCTCGTGTTGTGGTTTGTGCAGCGTTTCTTTCAAATGCACAGTGCTCGGGGTGCTGTTGCTGTGAGCCACCACCCTCAGAGCTCAGTCCTGTTAAATGGTATCAGTGCCACCAAGGACTTGTGAGAAGGCACATTCCAAGGACCTGCTTGGGGATCATCATGGATACTGCACCTTCTGGCACGCTGTGGCCCCCAAGGTGCCGTGCCAGAAGCTTTAAGAGACACAAGTGGCTCAGCCGGTGGCATGGCACATGGGATGCTATGACCAGTGCTCTTAACCCTCCCCACCAGCCTGGCCTTTTCACTCACCCTGTGTGAGCCTGGTTCTCAGGAGGAGGTGACTGGTGGACATTAGAGTCCAAAGGACAGGTAGGGGCAGCGAGTGGACCAGTGGCCGAGGAGGACTTACCTGGGTCATGGTCCTCTCAGCAACATTGAGCTTGAAGGACTCGCTGGGGTAGTAGAGGATGAAGCACATGTTGAGTGCTGTGAGGCCCTCATCTGTGAACTTGTTCACATTGGCCCCGTGGTCCAGGAGAAGGCTGACGATGTCATTGTGACAATGTACCTAGAGGGAGACAGGCCAGGCTCAGGGGACAGCAGCTGGCTCTCACTGAGGGCTGAGGAGATGCTTATGCTGGTGAGGACCTGCCACCACGGCCTGCCTGCAGGGCAGACACAGCACTCCCACTGGAGCAGAGGGGGACAAGGGCAGAGAGCAGCAGCACATAGAGAGCGACATGCCCAGCTCTTCTCCTCCGTAGGACCTTGTCAGTGCTCAGGAGGGAGGACAGTGTGGACCCCTCAGCACCCCAGGGACTGAGGACCCCCACCACGAGCAGGGATTTCCCCCCCCCCCCCAGTTCAGCATTCCTTAGCTCCCGACACGTGGGGCTAGGAGCTTACAGCAGCTGCAGCAAGCGCAGTGTAACCCTTTGCATCAGCCACGTCAGCACAGGCGAGATTGTCCTTCAGAACCCCATAAATCCAGCCGTAGTCCCCTTCCTCAGCCTTCAGGATCATCTCCTGGGAATACTGCTCCTTGGGCCCACTGCACGCAAAGCCACTGCGGTTCCCCTCCAGGATGGCGCCCATGTTCCAGCTGGTATGAGCTTTCTTATTCCTGGCAACACAGCAGGCCTCAGTGGTGGTGAAGCCTCCAGGCTGTGCAACATCTTCCAAGGGCCCAAGGAGAGCACCCCCTTGGCCCCGTGACATCACTCCTGAGGCCCCTACATTGCCCAGGGCCCTCTTTGCTCCAAGAGTCCACTCCTTGGGCACCCTGAGCCCTGGCAGCTGCATCACCAGCAAGTCACAATCAGCATGGAGTGCATAGTGGTGGGGACTGGGTAAGAAGGACTGGGCCAAGTGCCTGCCCCAGCAGGAAGTGCTGGCTACACACAGACCCTATGCATCTCCGACTTGTCTGAATCACATCATGTCTGCTGGAAAATGGGCTCTCAGAGCAGGAGGCCTGTGGAGGGATGGGGCCAAGACACGCCTCAGTGCACTACTCAACACCAAATACCCACATCCTACCCTCTGCTCATTCACTTTTCTGTTTGAACACATATTTTTCATGGTTTCTAGGCTATTCACCAAACAACACTGATGCCTCCTCTGTACACAGAAGTTTCACTCACCATCAAGAGCTCATAGATTTATGACAATTTCTGTACCCAGCAGTTGTCAGTAAGGTTCAGGTAATGTTCGCAGGACAAATGGATGGATGGATGGGTTGCTGGGTCCTGGCTTGGATGAGTAGGCGAGTAGATGAGAGTGTGTGAATGGCTGGAATGATGTTACAAGGATGGATAATGGATGAAATGTTGATTGCATGGATGGATGCAGCCTATCAGGGGGTGGCTGAATGATGAATGGCTAGATAAATGGAATGATGGTTTGTTTCATGGATGGATGCATGGCTGTATCAATGGATGGATGACTAGATGGATGAAGGGATAGATGGATGGATGACTATCTAGATACAAGAAATGATGGCTGCTTGGATGGCTGAAAAAGTAACCACCTGCAGTCATAAAATATCTATTCTTTTTTTTTTTTTTTTTTTTGTCTTTTTCCTTTTTATCGGTACCAGGGATCGAACTCACCACTGCCTGCTTGCAAGGCAGGCACTTATGCCACTGAGCTAAATCCCCAGCCCCAAAATATCTATTCTTAACAGTTTAATCTTGCCTAAGGCCAATGTTTAGAAAATGGATTAGGAATTTCCTGATTCTCTTAACTTATGGGAGGAAAAACAAGAGATGGAGGGACAGGGGCTAGAGGAAGGGAAAATGGGAAGTAAAAAAATTAAGATGTGTTATGCTCATGTGCCAACTCCCTACAATAAATGTAATCATTATGCATGGCATATGCTAGTAAAAATTTTAAAGAAAAAGTTACCACACCTGTAATCCCAGCACTTGGAGAGGCTAAGGCAGGAGGATTGTTACAAGTTTGAGACCAGTCTGGGCTACAAAGTGAGCTCAAGGCAGTCTGAACAGGATAGTGACACCGTTCTTCAAAAAGACATAATAAATACATACATACAAAATATAAAATTTTTTAAAAGGAAGAAAGAAAAACAAAACAAAAAGTAAACAGTTTCCCTTAAGTGGGTACAGATTTTCCTACAGACTCTGTGTGTCACTGCCATCCTTGGGGGCCAGGGTTCCAGTCAGCCTGCACATCCATCTTCCCTGGACCTCAGATCCCTCCTTTTGCTCTTGGTCAGATCCTGCACTAACATAACGATAATAACCTTCTCTCCATGTCCATCCTGACCAAGGCCTTGACCCATGGCACACCTAATCACCACTCAGAGTGGGGTCAGGGCGCACTGGCTTAGACTTAGAGTAAATGTCCACAGGTCCAAAAACCAGCATCTGCCCTCACGAGTATATCCTTCCAAGGGTCCACACCAGCTTTTGAACTGCCCTAGCTGCCAGTTCACCACATTACCTCCCAACCACACCTTTCCTAGAATGGGGACACACAGGGCCTGGGAAGCCCATTCCTCTGTGCAGATCGCCAGCCCTCTCCACTCAGGGCACCCAATCACAAGCACGGTGGGGGCCATGTCTCTCCCCACTCCTGGACTGCATCTGTCACTGCAGCAAGAGCTCACATCCATGTCCTGATGTGCAAGGCTGCTAACCGGTCAGTCAGCCTCAGGGACAGCCCAGCACTAAGGACCCTGGGAACCTGCCTGAAAGGGACGTCTGTCCCCTGAGGGACAAAGGCACAGAGGAGCAAGACCAGACCAATCACCTGAACTTGTAAGCCTGCTTCTGGATTTTGACCAATAAAGGAGTTTCATTCGTTATAAACCAGGGTTCTCCATCGTCGACAAATGGCGGGATTTCATTGGCAAAAATCTGGGCATCCAACTCTCTGCGGAAAGAACCTGTCATGGGCAGGTGGCAGTAGTCTGTTGAATAGAGCTGTATGTCCGGGGGCAGTGTGAGGTTCTCGTTCAGGAGGAACCTCTTGTACTCATAGAAGAAGGGGTCCTGTGCCTCAGATGGGCCCTTTGCCGTGCTCTCTGGCTCTACGAGGCTGATTCTGTCCCTCGAGCATGAGAGGAAGGCCGAGAACTCCGGGTAGCTGAGCACTGAGAAGCTGCCGGGGGTCTTTGTGGCCAGCTTGATGAGGTGCTCACGAAACCAGAGCCCCACGTCCTGGCTACCATCAGGGTAGGTCTCCACACCCGGTCCAAACCGCACGTCTGCCTTGTATAGGCCCTGGGGAGAACCATGAGAGGCAGCTCAGCGCAGCTGCACACCTATGACCAGACAGACCCCTGCAGGTAGAGGAGAGAGCCCCCCGCCGCAGGGGACACAGGATCACAAGGGGGTCCTCAGAGAGGCTGGGAGGGCAGGAAAGGTGACAAGGCAGGGTGCTGGGAGGTGCACTTCTGGAAGCCTCTGCAGCTGGCTCAGGCTCCAGCACTTTCAGGGACAACTGGAGAGTTAGGGAGGAAGAGAGTAAGAGGGAGGAGAGGAGAGGAGTCCAGCCCAGCTCCTGATCTTCCTTGATCCTAACAGAGAGGACAGTTCCCAGGTTTTTCCAGATGCTTCCACTCCTTGGAGCAGCCCTTCTCTCACACTCTCTCCCTGTGTCTGTCCATCTCTCTCTTCCCTCCCTCCCTCCTTCCTTCCAGTCATTCCTCCCCTATCTATCCATCCATCTATCTATCATCTATCTCTGTGTCTATTATCTATCAATCTCTGTATCTATCATCTATCAATCTATCATCTATTTAGCTGTGTATCTATCATCTATCTGTCTTTATCATCTACCTGTCGCTATATCTACCATTTGTCTGTCGATCTATCTCCTTTTCTTCTCTGTATCTCTCTGAGAAGAAAGAATAGTCCAGGAAGTTCTCAGACAAGAAACTGGGCACTCAGGGAAGTGCCCAGCTCCCCGAGAAAGTGACTCTCCTGAGATGGCACTGAAGGAAGCCTAGAGGTCAAGGAGAGGGCGGAGAGGACAGCACAGTGCAGGTGCAGGGGCCTGAAAGCAGCGGGACCTTGGCTCCCTCACCGGGAAGAAGACAACTGCTGTCTCAGTTCTGCACCCGACCCGCACACTCCTCTAGGGAGAGTAGCTTGGGCCAGGTGGCACTGAGAACAGAAGCGTGGGGAGGCTCGCACAGGCGGAGCCTTACTGGGGTGCGCCAGCTCTCCAGAGGAGCTGAGTAGGGCAGCACGGAGTTTCTAGCAAACCCGGGGAGGCTGAGGTGCAAAACCCCGGAAGGCTGGGGTGCAGCGGAAGGGCAGTGGGCATGGAAAGAGACATAGGAATCAGGGGAGGCCAAACCTTTGCTTTGCCTGGCAGCCATGGAGGCCGGGACCTGATTGGCAGCTTCCCCGGGGCGGTCTGGGACTGTGAGCCCAGGGGCCTCCTCCAGGCCCTAACTGCAGGGCCTCTGCCTGGCTGGCAGCTGCACCACCCTCCCCACGCCGAAGAAACTGCGCCTGATAGCGTAAGGGCCAGGAAGGGACCGGGGTCTGCTACTGATGCCCCCAAACCGCTAAACCGCAGCTGAGCCCATGACACCCAGCCCCGCCCCGCAGGTGGGCGCTCGCTGCCCCGCCCCTCCCCTGAACCCATGATCCCGCCCTGCACATGGTGCCCGCTCACCTGGAAGAGCCTCTTCTTCAGGTTCATGCTGCCATAGCCTTCCCGCTGGCTAAGGTAAAACGTGCCAGTGAAGCTGCAGCCGTCCGGCCACACGTAGGTGCCCAGGCCGTGGCAATGGTCATGGCAGAACTGCCCGCAGTAGGCCTGTGGGCAGCAGGTGGGTGAGGCGTCGCACCTGCGAGTGGTCTGTGGAAGCGGCGCTCAGGGGTCTCGGGACCTCCCTTGGGCCCAACGCCCCGCCACCCTGCTTCCTGCCCTGCCTCAGCACCCCAAATCCAGCAGCAGAGATTCCCGAGGTCCTGGGCACGCCCGAGCAGAGCACACAGGAGTTTCTGTTTGTTTTTAAGGAAAGCCTTTGCTATCTGTTCAATCTCAAACTCAAGGCAGTTTCACCAGTGTCTGTTATTTCACTGCAATAATTCACAATTCTATTTTTATTTATTTTTGGATTTTTGGGACACAGTCTAGCTATGCAAATCAGGCTGGCCTCCACCTCACATAGATTCTCCTGCCTCAGCCTCCTGAGTGCTGGGGCTACAGGGGTGCACATCACGCCTGGCATCTGATTCACAATTTTTAAACATTTGTCCAGAATACGGATTTATCTTCCATCTCACAGTTTCACAAACCTTGTCCCAGGTGCTCTGCTGGAAGTCCCAGTCATTCTGGCAGGCAGCAGCCTAGTGGTTCCCAGCACCAGATTCTCAGGAGAGGCCCGGGCCAGGACCTGGGGGAGGGAGTGGGGTGGCAGTAGAAGCCACTTACCTCCCCTGTGGGCCAAGAGAACTCGCCGTACCCAAACTTCACTCCAAGCCCAAACTCCCCTTGGTAGACACAGCCGTCATGCCATGTCTGCACACTATGGACCAGCTGGATGGGGGCCGCCTTCAGGTGCCTCTTGCTCAGACACCCCTCAGGCTCCTCCTCCTCCTCCTCCGGGGACACCAGTCTGTCCCTAGAAGACACAGCATGGGGCAAGGGCTGAATGCCGTCAGAGTGACTTCCTGAGGGGTAAGGAACACCCTCCACTCAGAGGTTTCACTCTCACTGTGACGCTAGGGCAGGTGCTGTTGTCACAGAAAAGGAAACTGAGGCATAGAGGATACAGTGATTGCAGAGGGGCACTCAGGAAGTGGAAGGTACAGAAAGGATGCAAACTGACAAGGCCAGAGGCTGCTGGACCCTGATGCAAGGACAATTGCCCCCCCCCCCAGCTGGAGAGACAGATACTGACCCACAGGGGGACACAAGGACAGGCATGGGTGGGTGGCGCAAGGCTGCGGGGAGATGTGTGTGCCACATCACTACTTCCTGGCATGAAGGCCCAGCCCCCTGCACCCACCAAACCCTAGCCTGTCTACCTGCCTCTCGGCTCTGGGGGATGCGGGGTGTGGCTGTCACTGGCCTAGAGACGAGGCTCAGTGTCTAGCTGGTCACCTGGCCAACCCTAGGGACCCTCAGGCTCAGCCCCTCCAGGGGTTGCCCCACCAGGCAGCCTCAGCTGCCGGCCATGGACCATGGGGCTGAGCCCCCCATCTGCTGATGAGCAAGGGGTTCCATTGTGAGATGGCAGATCCAGGGGACAGACATCCAACCACAGCAGCAATCAATGCAGAAGGGCATTGGTTTGGTTGACTTTTTCCCATTGGTTTCCTGAATATGGGCTGAATTTTATCCCCCTCAGAATTGTGTTGGAGCCTTAAACCCCAGTAGCCTAGCACTTACTCCAACCTAGAGATTGGTCGTTATGGAGGGACCATCAGGGATCAACTCAGAGGGACTCAATTCAGGCCCTAGGTCAGTCAGCCCATGTCTTCATAGGTCAGGAACATCTGGACAGGAAATGCACAGAGGGGTGATGCTGTGCTAAGGCAGAGGGACCAGCTGGCACCACACAAGAAGTGCCAGCCAAACCTGCAGCCCCTGCCAGACCTGTGGCCCCCAAAGCTGTGAGACAGGTAGTGACTTTGCTGTTTATGCTGCACATCTGTAGTGTTGTGTCACAGCAGCCTTGGAAAACTAACAAACTTAGAAGTCCCTGTTTTTCTACATAGGATAGATATTAACTGGTTTTTTAAAAAATAACATTAACAAAGGCAAAAGACACCACACAATGGGAATGGAGAAATGGATTTCTTGTTTTGTTTTAGGGCTTTTGTTTTTGAAGACAGGGTCTTGCTCTGCTGCAGAGGCTGGCCTTGAACTCACTATGTGACCTTTGCGGTTACACTGTTACCAATGAACCTGAGGTACATGAACAGCCCAGGAAGTGCTACACAGAACACCTAACCCAAAGTAGCGCTGATTTTTTTTTTTTTTTTTTGGTGGGGGGAACAGTCTCACTCTGTAGTCCAGGCTGGCCTTAAGCTCACTATGCAGCCCAGAGTGGCCTTGAACTCAAATTCACGGCTCTCCTCCTACCTCAGCCTCCCAAGTGCTGGCTTTGCAGGTGTGCCCCACCAAGCCCAGCAGTAGCATTTACTCTCAATCCCACAGCAGTGAAGGAGATGTGCCAACTCGGGGGGCACCTCTAAGAGTTACTCTTGTCCCCACTATGAGGTTTATGAGGTGGAAGGGCAGTGTGGCAGGCTACAAAGGCCACAAGATGAGGCGCTATCACCTCCTGTCCTGCCCTCAGTGGAGGCTGGCAGAGTATGTAGGCTTTTCAAGCCCTCCAGGGTCTAGGATTACTAGGGGGCAGGGGTAAGTAACTTGTAGTGCTCTTTCAGCTTGCCCCAAGGGAGCGCCCTAGCCACTCTGGGCCTCTGGTCAGGGTGACATCCTTGCCACAGGGGCCCCTGCACCTTGCAGTGACGAGGTCGTAACTTTCCAGGAGCCCAGGGTCCTCCACGGCATGGGGCTGGCCATCTGGCTCCTCCAGCGGGCCCCTGGAGCTGTGGTCTAGGGTGGCAGAGGACCCATCTCTTTCCATGTCTGTCCTCTTCCAACCTGGACGCAAAGCCCGGGACCCTCGCGCGTCCTCAGAAATCCTGTGAAGGATCCAGGCCCCTGAGGACCGTCCCCAATTCACCCGGCTCAGGCTTCAGGCCTTGGTTTCAGCAGACGGCAACACCTGGGTCGGGAAGCACAAGCCCCAGCTGCTAAGGCGGAGACCAGGCCCAGGCCCAGGTCAGTATACCAGCGGGTTTCCCTGGAGACGCCTCGGCACCGCCCACACCCCGCCCTCACCGCGCCCTGCTCCATCTGCGCACGCGCACGCGCAGAGCGGTGGGGGGTGGGCGCCTTTCTGCTGGCCTCTTAGTCTGCCTTGCACCGCCACTCAGGCATTGGGCTAGTACTGCAGGCACCTCAAGGAGCCAGCAAGGCGGTGGCTGAGGTCAACGCTGAGACACCTGGCTAAGGCTTGCTCAAGCCCCGCCTGACCGCAAAGCTAGGCTTCATAGACTGGGTAAATGTGTGCATCAAGTAGGGCGGGAGAGAGGGCATTTCAAGCAGGGCTGCGGTGTTTGCCCAGGAGTCTGTCTCCAGACGCACAATGCAAAGCTGGGCCAAGGCATGCTGCAGCACTAGCAGAGGGGCCCCTCCGCAGTCTGAGGCAGACATTCGGCCTTACCGAGCCAGCAGCACAAGGGGCCCACACCCAGGTCGTCCCCAACCTGGTAAGCACCCCGGGGACTAAGGCAGTTGCACCAGGACTCCTGTCCTGGCGGTACCTCCAACACACCTTGTTCCTGTCTCCCAGTTTACAGCTCTCCTCCCCTGGCCTCTCAGCTCCCTGGGGCCAACTGATTCCTGGATGCCACTTTAGAGCATGACAAGGCCCAACTGCAACTCAGAAGTTCCTTGAAAAGTTCATCGTACATTCGTGCAGCCTTTTATTACCACCATAATAAAGCTGGAACTGCGACTAAATGTAATTTAGTTATGAAAACAGTCGCTATTCCCTGAAAAACACTATATGAGAAAGTCGTCTTCTTAAACCAGAACTTCATGAATGTTGACTCTAAGTAGCTTTTTTTTACAGTGCTAAAAATGTTAAAAGTATAGCGCTAAACCCAAGAAATTAAGATTAACAAACAGCAAATAAATCCTGGTCTATGAAGAAGTGATGAAAACGGTCGCTTTATTTTATATGAACCGTATTTTACTGTAGGGATTCTGTATGCAAAGGGAAATAAAGGGACACACACCACGGTCATCAGAAATGGCTGCCGTCTGGCACCAGTGCAAGCAGGCAGCTTTTATTGAGATAAAGAACTTGTATTGCACATTCTTAGATTATGTGACTTGTTTGCTCTTGTACTTATGGACCCTCACACTTTTATCTTGGGCTGCTTCACGGCCTGTACTTTCTACCAAGACAGTCAACAGGATGTGTCCAGAACAAAATGGGAATCAGTGTGGCCTCTACATCTTCCCTTTTTTTTTTTTTCTTTAGGTTTTCTTACCATGTAGGAAGCCAGCATTTTAGGCATGATCATCGTATATAGGGATGGGATGCATTGTACAAGGCATTCTATCCTGATTAAACAGACAAGGACAAGGACACCATAAAGAAACCTTTGTTTTAGCCAACTGCTATCTGGTAACCATCCCGTAAGGAAATTCCAGCACAATCCAGCATTGAGTCCTCAGACACATGTATCTGCTTGGTAAGTTTTCATAATCCTGAAGCTTCTTATTAGTGGATTTATTAATCTGGGGACTAAGGCAGCTGCACCATCTTTTTAGGAGTTGGTTCCTCTTCAGAAGTGTGGAGCTGGCCAATGATTTAGCTCCGCGGCATTAGCGCCTGTCTGGCAAGCACAAGTTTGATCCCCAGTACAAAAAAAAAACCCTTAAAACTAGAAGCGTGGAGCAAGTCTTGGGCAGACTGCATCAGACAAATTAAAACTGCACATTCAAGTAATTTTATTGCAACCATGATGATGTAACAGAAGTAGATAATCAGCTGCAGTGTGGTTATCCAAAATTGCTTGGTGCTCAGTATGTTCTCTGTTTAATAATGCCAAAGCTGTGGAAGTGTGATTGATTTGTTTTGCCATGAGACAGGGTAGCGTATTAACACTTCAAATGACCCTGGCTACCAGGGCAGGCACATCAATCAAAGAAACAGCTAAAGCATAAATTTCTGCTTTGGTTAACAGGCTAAAAGAAAAGTCCCCACACAGGTTGGACTAGTTGTAGACCATCTGAGGCAAGACAGTGTAGATTAAGGGGAAGGCAACACTTTATGTTATAAACTTTCAAGGAGGTAACTGAAGGTGTACTCTTCACATGAAAAGACCCATCCAGCAGGGAGAAGAACCAGTCTGTTCCCAGACAATATTGGTTCATAACCAGAACGATTCCAAGTGTATTAGGAGGGTAAAAACATCGAGTGGTACAATTTTCAATATGAGAACATGAGGCATTTGAAGTTGTCATACATGAAGTGAACATTGTAACAGCATCATCAGGTTTTTTAAAGGTGGGAAAATCAGTTTGGAAAATCAGGACATGTTACCATTTTGTTTGGAATAGTGGAGAAAATGGTGTAGTTACTTGAGAGAGGCAGGGTCCTTGCATAGTGGAATCAGACAGGACCCGAGAATGTATTTCATTTCTATTTTTTGAGAGACAGAAATGAGAGATATTAGCTATTTTTGCCAGTGGAAGCCAAATATTGTATTCCAATCTTTCCTGGAGGTTATGGGATGCTAAGGTCCCTGTAGTGGGCTATAAAACACACAGGCACAAAACACAAATAAGGATTAAAGATCAGTGTCGATTTGGTAAGTACCGCCACAAGAAGCTTTTTAGGAGTTAGTTACTCTTGAAAAGCACAGAGCAGTTCTTGTGCAGACTGGATCAGCACCTTTACTTCACCCCAGGTCACTGGCTGAGCAGTCATTGTCCTGGGTCCCTTCTGAGGTGGCCGGGCTTAATTCAGGGAGAGGTGAAACTGTGGAATTGGGTTGTGCAGCCCATGGTGCCAACTCATTGCACGCAGGGTGAATACAAAGAGCAAGAACCCACACAGGGCCCATTAGGAATAACACTGAAGCATCACCTCCTTCCCAGGTCAGCAGGGGCGCCAGCCCCCGCCAGCCTGGGTCTGGTGGTGGTGTGTACAATACAAAAGGCTTTGGCACAGGTTCATCCTGGTGAAATGTATTTGAACCAGGAAAGAAGAAAGCCTTGTGGGAAAGACAAGAAATTCTAAGTAAATAACACTGTGGACAGAATACAAGAAACCTGTGCAGGGGGTGTATCCCCCGCCCCAGTTGTTTATAAAGAAAAGAGTTTTGAGTGCACGATGGGCTTGTTCAATGATAGCTTGACCTGTGGGACTAGAGGAGATGCTGGTAACATGGCAAATTTGCCATGTGAAACAAAAGCAGCAAAAACCTGAGGTAAAAGCTAGACCACTGTCAGTTTTAAAGGAGGAAGGTACACCCATGATTGCAAATGCAGCCAGGAGACGTTGAATTACGTGTCAGGTGGACTCAACACTGCATGGTGAAGCCCAAATGAAACCAGGAAACATCAACAGAAATGTGAAGGAATAAAAAAGGTTTTAAGGAGGACCAGTGTGTGACATCTGTTTGCCAGAAGTTGTCACAAGCGTTGAGAGCATCAAAGGGAGAGGAGTGAGGCCTGGCAGCACAACGTGAACAGGAGGAAACAATAGCTTTAGCTTCAGAGTGGCATATGAAACAATTTATGTAAAGAAAGAGCAGACTGATGAAAAAAGGCATGGCTTTCTTCAGCATTATCAAAAGAGAGGCCGGAGAATGCACAGGGCTTGATTAGCAATAGCATTAGCTTGTTGTAAGAACCGGGGCAGGGGTTGATGACTGTGAATATGTAAAAGAAAGAGAGGGGCACAAGGAGCACAAAGAAAAGCCTGTAAATGTGAAAAAAGAAACATTAAGTATGCATCTACTGCTGTGGGGGAGATAACAGCAGACGCTAAGTGTAGGACAACATTATGTACATATAGAGTCACTAAGTAAGCTAAGGGCTTGGGATGAAAAAACTTGCAAAGCAAGGATAACACCAGACAGCTCACTGCATTGAGCAGAGGTTTAAGGCAGACAATACTAGTGTTCCAAAAGTAACTATCAAAGTATGTTACAACTCCACAACAGGCAGATCCATCAGTGAAGGCAGTGAGGGTACCCTTTAAAGGGGTATGAACCAAACAAGTTTGAAGAAAAAGGGAAATGGGGTAAACAGAGACAAACAAGGATCATGTGGCATATGGAAAGAAATGGAACCAACATAGCCAGCCAGAGCTACTTGAAAAGAAACAGTAGAGGACAGCAGAAAGGAGAAGTCAGCCTTGGTGAGTGGCAAGAGATACCATCGGATCAATTCCAAGGAGTGTGCGTGAGTAGTCCCCCAGAGATAAAAGTGGAAATAGCATTGAGGATGGGAAGCATGGAGTGGGGTAAATGTAACCAATAAACACTTCGTTGCTCTGGAGGGCAACAAGAGCCCCTCTGGGCAAATGGGCTGAATGAAAACTGAGTAAGGAGAGAGGGCAGTTCCTCCAGACTTGATCCACCACAACTGTGATGAGTGTGTGAGCAATGCTCGGAAGGGCCTGCCATAGAGGACAGTCAGAGATCACGTCAGCTGGATCTGTGTGGCCCCATAAACCATCAAATAGAGGAGCTAATTATTGAGTGGTCAAAGGAAAATAGGGCCTTGTCCAGTTAAGGTAACCCAGAAATTGTTGTAATTTAGAAAGTGTAGCTGGAAAGCAGAAGCATAAGGTAGGTAAGGCAGGCATCGAAAAAGAACAAAGTCGATGCCCTAAGTAAAAAAATGGTTCTGAGTACTGGACGTTTTCTGGGGAGATATGGAACCCAAATTCTGCTAAAGAGGAGAAATCATGAAGAATAAAAGGGATCCATCAGTAAAGAAAGTGTGCGGAAACAAATTTATCCTAAGGGCTCCACCGCCCCAATTTATAGATCCTGTAAATTAGGAAAACATTTTTTTAAAGGTAAGCAGCGCAGTATTAACAAAATATTGACAGAGGGCTGGATTATTTATAGTAACATACATCAATGGTACCTGCATGCAGGCTTATGGTTGTTATAAACTGGAACAGTGAATGCAAATCAGGGGTGATCCTGTGGATGTAAAGGAATAGTAAAGAAACAATCTTTTAATCAATAATAAAGAGTTGAAATTCATGAGGAGTAAGGTTAGGATTAAGAAGAACACATTGTAAGAGGTCCATAGGGGCTATACACATTAATTTCCCAGAAGTCATGAAATAACCTCCACTTACCTGATTTCTTTTGTATAGTGAAGATAGATGTATTTCAGGGGCTAGCAGTGGGCTCAATATGACCTGCAGCCAATTGTTCTTGAACTAAGGCCTCCACTGCTGACAACTTATATTTAGGTAAGGGGCACTGTTTAATTCAAAACGGACTGTCAGTTTTCCATTTGAGAGGTAGGGAATGTGGGGCGGTGGAGGCCCTCAAGATAAATTTGTTTCCACATAAGCATGGAGTTGAGAAAGAACATCACAGTCCCATATCACAAAAGAAATGTTCATAATATATGGGAGAATGGAGGTCTTTTTAGTCCATTGAGAGCACAAGCAACAGAGGTGTCACTGCAGAACACATTTTGGGAAGGGCCCCCAAATGCCCCAGAAGGGATGAACAGGTGGAAAAGACAAATGAGAAAGCCAGTGTAAGCGAGGAAAGACAGAGACATCCAGTATCTAGCAAACCTGAAAAGGAAATGTTGTCAATAGTTGAAGAGAGGCTTGGGTATTCATTTCCCAAGGGAACAGCTACAGCCACCACAATAGAGCCATATCCTTGCTTTCCATGAGTAACATTACGAGCTTTAGAAGAGACATAAGGCAAGACAATTAGTTGAGCTGTAGATTCAGAAGCATTTAATTGAATGGGCAAGAGACCACAATTGAAGCAACATAACCCAGTATAATCTGCATCAATGACACAGGGAATCACAAAAATGCCTCTTTTTGATTCATATGAGCGGGGAAGAACTAGGCCAGTTGTCCTGGGAGGTAAAGGACCATGAAAAGTACTAGGAACTTTATAAATAGTACCAGGCATTTCCAAATTGATAGTTTCAGCTGACAGTAAATCTATGCCAGAGCTCCCCCTGGTGGCACGAACAGATTTGGAATGAAATGACAGGGAGGAAGTGCCCTGTTTTCCTGGGCAGGGAACATACTGGGTCTTCTTATTGACCATGTTTATTATTTATTTCTATTTTTACTTTGCGGGTTTTGACTACATTGACTGACCCAATGATATCCATGTTTCAAATGCGACACGGGGTATCTGGTCTGTTATTTTTAGCTTTTGCCTTACAATTTTTGCGTACACATCCGGGTTTTGTACAATTAAAACAAGTAACAGGGGGCAGTAAAGCAGCAGCCAACAATTGCATTTTATGTGTTTGAGTTCCTCAAGCCAAAATCATTTGAGCCAAAGTAGTAGCAGGTTTCATATAAATATTTTTAAAGCATTTTTGCAGTCTAGGTTTGCATTTTCTTATGCTAATTGCTTTAACAAAATAGAGGTTGCTGTCATACTGTCCAGCTGGCATTCAATAGTTTTACTTAAACTATCTATAAAGGTAAAGAAAGATTCAGTGGCCTCCTGTTTAATAGCAATAAAGGAACTTTGAGCATCAAACGCTTTGGGGATTCTTTTCCAAACTTTTAAAGCAATTTGTACCATTTGAGGATAAGCTTGGAGGTGGCAACGAACTTGTTGGCAAGTATCTGAAAAGGCTCCTTCACCCCGTAATTCAGTAGCTCCCATAGGAATATTGTGACCCAAGTTATCTATGGCTTGTGTCTCTGCAGCATATTCTAGGAGCCACACCTGATACTGGGTTGGAGTGACAACAGTGCGCACAAAGGCTTTCCAATAGAAAGGGGTAACTTCATAACCTTGACCAATGCCTTCAATAATGCCAATTACAAAAGTACTTTTAAGTCCATATTCTTTGACAGCGTTTTTTAATTCCTTAATAACAGAATATTGTAAGTTTTCAAAGCAGGGCTGTCCTTCCTGTTGACGAAAACCAAAACAAGCAATTAGTTCCCCGGGCTAGCTTCTACATGGGAGTCAGGACTGGTGGTAAGTCTCCCAGAAGTTTTTGGGGGTTCGCATTTTGTAGCAGTGGCGGGGGGGGGGGGGCAGAAGCGTATGGTGTAGGTGTAGAGACAGCAGAAGCAGCACACCCGGGAAGTTCTGGAAGTCAGCCACACAGTGTTGTCTCTGCTTGCTTGCCAAATGTTGCAACAGCACCGCCGCAAAGATGCCAGGTGTGCAGGACAGAGCAGGAGCACGAGCCTCACGCAGCAGTTTGCCTATCTTTCCCCAAACCTCCATAATGAGAGTTCTTCCCTCAGGATACCAAGGACAATAATCATGAATTTCTCGCAAAAGTTGTACTAAATTACATCAGAGGCTGCATCGCCCGCCTTCTTAAGGAGAAAGAGCAGTTCTCCCTTATGTTTCTGTTGCACTTTAGACGGGGAATTCCCTATGACCTACCTGAGGATTTTCCAAAGCAAATACAGTAGACTCCTCGAGGCCGTGTTTCACTCCAGGAACACAGCGAAGTCAAGTCACCTTTGGAGGGCCGGGAGCCTGGAGCCAGGGTCTCACGGATCAGGCAAGGAGCAGACGCACTTCCGGCCATAGGTATCGCGTTAGGGGTGCGGCCCAGCCGCAGCCAATCCGGTCCTCCCCGGCGCAAGAGCCCAGCCAATGGGGCGGCGGCCCAGCGGAGCCCCCGCAACCCGCCCCCAGATTCCCCGCAGAGTCTCTGGTAGGGGGCCGCGCGCGATGGGCCCGGGAGGAGCCGATGAGCTCAGGGCCGCAGAGGCTGTGCCACTGCCGTTCGTGCGCGTTGCCCCTAAGCTCTTTCTCGGAAGCGCGCGCGCCGCGGGCGCCACGGAGCAGCTGACGCATGAGGGCGTCACTCTGTGCGTCAACGTCTCCCGTCAGCAGCCGGGCCCGCGCGCGCCTGGAGTGGCCGAGCTGCGCGTGCCCGTGTTCGACGACCCGGCTGAGGACCTGTTGGCGCACTTGGAGCCCACCTGTGCCGCCATGGAGGCTGCGGTACGAGCAGGCGGCGCCTGCCTCGTGTACTGCAAGAACGGCCGCAGCCGCTCCGCTGCCGTCTGCACCGCCTACCTTATGCGGCACCGCGGCCTCAGTCTGGAGCTTGCGTTCCAGGTAGGCACTTCGGAGGCAGGGCCCACACTTGGGGGCGGGACTTCTGGGCGGCGTGTCACACCCACAGGAGGACTTCCAGGAGGGGCGGGGCCAGAGCGCTAGCGTTGCCTTCCTTTTGAGCTCTCTTGCAGACAGTGAAGGGTGCCCGCCCGGTAGCCGAACCCAATCCAGGTTTCTGGTCTCAACTTCAGAAGTACGAGCAGATCCTGCAGGCCAAGGCGCGGATGCCCCGAGAGCCAACCGACCCCAGTAGCGGGGTCCCACGACCCCAGTGAGCCGCACCGTTCAGCCTTCGGCGTCTCCAACGGTCCTTGCGGCGGCGACGGAGGCTTGCCGGCACGACTGGAGGGACATCTGCCCCTCCGTCTTCGCTGTCACACCAAGGCCCTGCTTCTCCCCCAAGTCTCCTCTTGCAGCAGCGCAGCTTGGCAGCGTCTCATCCCCCTTCAGCTGGCAGTGCAGCATCGTGTTCCTCTAGGAGGCCCTTGTTGCCTAGACAGCTTATTTGGCAGGCTTTGGTCACATAAACCACAGAAGAAAGTTTGTACAGGGAGCGAAAGCGGGGAGAGCCAGAGACAGGAGATGAGGCCCGGCCATCTACCTGGGAACAGCGGGCAGCTGCTGCAGCCACCCAAACTTCATCCTGGGCCCCTTCCCAAAACTGAGCGAGGGAACGAAGCTGCTGCAGTCGAGTAGCAGGTCGCAGGTCCATCTCCCACTATACCTTACCTCTCCCATCATGCCAGCTCTGTGCTGGGCTTCCCTCGATGTGGAGAGTGGAGCCCAGCGCCTCTCTAGTTCACACACAGCTTGACTTGGACATCTGTGGCCTTCAGACTCCTAGAAAATTAGCCACCATCCACACCCCTTGAGTAAGACAATAAGAAAACAGCAAAGGAAAATGTGGGTGATGTGTGTGAATTGCAGATAATGTAGTCATGGGTTAATATACTCAATGTATTTAAGGCAATGAATGAATAAAGCACTTTAGTTGGTTTCTGCTATTTCCCATCAGACAACATAAAGTCCCACTGCCCCTTGAAAGTCAGGTCAGTCACTGGGTACTGTCAGTCTCCTGCCAGGGGGACATGAAGGCTCCCCAGCAGAGCCCAAAGCTGGGGAGATGGGAAGCACAGCATGAGTGTATCGTTGGGGTAACAGCAAAAGTGGCCAGCCTGCCTGCCCCTTGGACTCCTGGACCTCAGTTTCTGGCTGCATCAGGAACAGTTCAGAGCACTCACCAGGCCTTGGGTAGTTCCAGCCCTGCTTCATGAGGCCAGTGGGCAGCCTGACAATGCCAGGCTTGCACCCCAGGTCCCTCCTAATCCAGGCATCATTCTCAACCCCCTTAGGGAGTTGCTGCCCTCACCCTGCTCAACTAGAGGGTAGGGTAAGTTACAGGGGAGGATCAGGGATCCAAGCCCAGGTTGTACTCAGTGTGTAGAGCTGATCCCTGCACATGACACATCCAAGGGGCTTCCAATGCCCTCCCCTTAGAGCAGGGCACATCCTTGGCCTGCTGATCTAGCTCTAGATGAGGGTGCAAGGGCCAGAGGGCCTGCACCAGTTTGAAAGAATCTGGGTCACATCAAATATGTTTTCTCTATCTCTGTTCTGGAAACCTGTCTATCAGTAGCTCCCACCAGAGGCCAGTTCTACATGGAACTTGTCCCAGGGATGACATAGCACTGGACAGAACCTCACTTACTTCTGAACCCTCTGCTGTCCTCCCAGCACACTGGAGTACTGTCCATCTCAGTGCCTACCTTCTAGGAGTTGAGGCTACAGTTCCATTGCATCCCCTTAGCTTCAGTGCAAGTGAATGGGGGTTGTCCCCTCCATGTATTAGAAATCTGGGGAGCAGGTTACTGTCAGAGCTGCTTCTCAGCCCTGATCATGAAAAGGCTGGACAGAAAATTCCTTTGGAAGAAATAAGAGAAGTTGGGCAACCTCGGACTCCGGGTGCAGCGCAGACTACCACCACCAGGGGGGTGTAGCATACAGGTCACAGGGCTGAGCACTGTAGGGGCTGAGGTAATCTTTGGGGTTTGCAAGTTGCCCTGTGCTGGGGTCTTCTGGCACTGCGAGGGTGCCCAGGTGGGCTGTCTCCAGAGGAAGCGCAAGCATCACTTTAGGCCTCCAGTTTTTTTGTTTGTTTGTTTGTTTTTGTCTTTTTCATTTTTATCGGTACCAGGGATTGAACTCACGACTGCCTGCTTGCAAGGCAGGTGCTTATGCCGCTGAGCTAAATCCCCAGCCCCGTGGCCTCCAGTTTTTGTGCTATCTGCAGATGCTATGCTGATGCCTGTGTAGGTACTGCCCTCAGGGTGATAGGGGACAAGCTGCAACTCACCCCTGCAGCTGCAGTGGCCATAGGGAGGTGCCCAGGGGCCTCCAGCAGGGATCCCAACCCCCGCCCCCTGAATCTAACTGGGAGGCCAGGTGACAAAACTCCCACACTCCACAACAGGAAGGCCAGCAAGGGCCAACTGGCCACCAGCAGGACAGCATGCTGGGTCACCAGGTCGCTGGCCACCTAAAGGCAACACATGGGATCCCAGCCCAGTTCTCTTTCCTCTTGAGTCTCAGATGCTGGACTGTGTGACCCTTGGGGTTGCTGGAACCTGGACTCCACAAGGGAGGCCATGTTCCCCTGCTAAGAGGGCATGCAGGGGCTTTAAGTGATGCTCACACCTGCTCTAGACTGGTTCCTTTCTTGGCCTTGCTTTCCACCTCCCGTTGAGGATGGAGGGCAGAACCACTGGTTACTGTGGGGAGACTGAGTCCAGACAGCTGCATGCCACCCAGGGACAACACTGCTGTGACGCCACTGCCTCCTTCTGCAGTGCCAAGGGCAGGACTTCATTCCACAGTCTGGGCTGGTACGTTGGGCAGGCCCTGCAAGGTGACAGAGGCCCTGCCAAGTGCAAAAGGTCTCGGTGCTCTGCAGCCCATCAGCCCTTGTCTACCTGAACAGGTACAGTGTTGGGCAGCTTGGTCTGCCAGCTCAGCATGCAGCTCCAAAACAGTATGCCCCAAGCCCTCTTGGTAGCGTGGCCAGCAGAACTTCCTATGATGGAAGAAGTTCCCTGTCTGTTCTGTCCATTAGCACCCTGCCCCCACCACAGAGGACAAGCAGACCTGAAATACAGGTGAGCAACTGACAACTGAACTTTATGAGACCTAAATGGGAAGCATGCAAGGAGATGCTGGGTCTGATAGGACAGCCTCAAGTTTCTGTACCCCATCACTCCATCAGGGACCCCGAGAATCATTCCCGGAAACAGGCCTGAACAGAGGGATAGCGCCGCGCTCCCACACTTTCGACGCCCAGCCCTCCCGATGCTCTGCCCTCCCAGTGTTGCCAGATCACAGTGTAGGAGGAAGCGCAGGACGCAAGGCTGGGGACGGTGCCAAGCCCTGACCCCCAGCCCAACAGCATTTCAGCCTCTTGTACAGCGCCTCTGTCTCAGGGTGCCCCTGATCACCAACTCACAGCCTCGCAGCATAGCGCCGGCCCTGACGATGGGCGCGGAGCCTTGACGCAGCGCACAGCACCCTGATCACAGCGCCGCGATTCAGAGCGCTCGCGCACGGCCCCAAACCCCGCCCGCAGCGCCCCCAATCACAGTGCCCCAGCTCAGAACGTCCTAGCCCCGATCCGCCCCGCGGGCTCACAAGTTCTGGCTGCGCGCACAGCGCCCCGGTGCCCTGAGTCCCGGCTCGGCCCGGGCTCTCATCACACAGGCGCGGCCCTCCCCGCGGGCGCACAGCCCGGCCCGCGCACAGCGCCCCCGGCGGCCACAGCCCAGCCCGAGCGGGGCGGCGCACGGCGCAGGGCCGGGCCGGGCGGCTCCCGGCACGACTTCCTGTTGTGCCCGCGCCCCGCCGCCGCCGCCGCCGCCACCGCTGCTCGGCGCCCCTCGCCCGCGGCCCCGCGCGGCCGCCTCCCATGGATTTCACCTAGCGCTCGGCCATGGCGGGGCAGTGCTGCTGCCGCAAGGCGCCGGGCGCCGAAACCGCGCCCGCCCGGCCGCCACCCGAGCCGCCGCCCGCCCTGGACGTGGCCTCGGCCTCCAGCGCGCAGCTCTTCCGCCTCCGCCACCTGCAACTGGGCCTGGAGCTGCGGCCCGAGGCGCGTGAGCTGGCGGGCTGCCTGGTGCTCGAGCTGTGCGCGCTGCGGCCCGCGCCCCGCGCGCTCGTGCTCGATGCGCACCCGGCCCTGCGCCTGCACTCGGCCGCCTTCCGCCGCGCCCCCGCCGCAGAGACCCCCTGCGCCTTTGCCTTCCCCACCCCCGGGCCGGGGCCTCAGCCGCCCCCACTGCCCGCCTTCCCCGAGACACCCGAGGCTGAGCCCCCTTGCTGCCCGCTGGCCTTCAGATTGGACCCGTTTACGGACTACGGCTCGTCGCTCACGGTCACGCTGCCGCCTGAGCTGCAGGCGCACCAGCCCTTCCAGGTCATCCTGCGCTACACCTCGACCGACGCCCCCGCGGTAAGTCTCGCCTGTGTGGGCGGGGGGCTGACCGCGCTGCCAGGCCAGGAAATAGTCACCTACAGCCTCACCTGGGGCACCTGTAGAGGTCGTGGGGGGGCAGCCTGGCCCTGGAGTCCTGCCCAGGTGCCCTTGTGCTTCGCAGCTGTCACCTGTGCACCCTTAGGAACTTTGGTTAGAGCCCTGAGTACATCTGTGGGCGGAAGGGCAAGGGGCAGCATGCCACACAGGGAGCCCTTGCATTGAGACGTTCTGCCCCTATCTGGATGCAGGAGCATTTTCTGGTGGGCACCTGCCCAGTCATACATCTGCTGGAGTTGGCAGCTGACAGGTGGGCCAAGGCCATCTGTCAGCTGCATCAGGGCCTCATTGTGCCCTCGGCTCCAGAGGGCTGCGGGCAGCCAGGTTTGTTTTCCAGAAAGGAATCAAGAACAGGGAGTTTGGTGGAAGGTAGGAGAGGGAACATATAGGCAAGGGCTTGGTTTCGCGCTCCTCCAGATGGACTGGCAGGTGTTTGGGTCATAAGCCTTACAGTAACAGCACAGAGACAATGGGCTCTGCAGGGTTCTGCACCCACCATCTCAAAGGCCCCACCAGAGAGCCAGGTGGCCCACAGCAGCGACAGCAGCTCCCAGCCATGCAGTAGCCTGCAAGACAGAACAGGACCTTTTGTTGCTCAAGCATGGGAATCCGAGCTGGGTCCTTAGCAGCATGGATAGCACACATATGACACCCAGCATGTGCATAGGAGCACGTACGCAGCTCTGGACCCCTGTGAGGGACACTGCCCGAGTTACTCAAATTGACAAGCCAGGGCCCACCAAGGGCCAAGGGGACATCTGGACAGGAAGAGGCCAGGCTAGGTTCACACTTTTCTTAGGAGCCATGGGCAGGGCTTGCTGCCTCACTTTTTCCCAGAGCCCCCATGGGAATACCAGCTGCTGGGGCCCTGTGCTGGGGTCCAGCACACCAAATGAGGATTGACAGGGGCCCTCCCTGACCTCTGCTGTGAACTTGGACCTGTATATCTGTTCTGCCCGCAGCCAGCAGCATGGTGGGACCAAGGTCGGAAGCAGGCTACTGCAGCCTGCTGCAAACAGGGCCAGGGATTGAGAGTGGCCATTGCTCCTGGGCTTTTCATGGCTGGCTCAGTGATCCTGTCAGGGAAGGCTGTAGGCTGTGATGCTCCACTTTGGGCTCGGCGGACCCACCTCCTAGTGTTCCAGCCCCAGTCCCTACAGAGTGGCTGTGGAATTAGTAGATAGGGAACAAGGGGCCTGGCTGTGAGCTCATCACTTGCAGAAAGTGACCTCTGACCTCAGATGCCCCCAACACATTGTGAGCACTGCAAAGTTTGGAGCATAGCCCTAGACCAAAAATCAAGTGGGAGCTGCCTGGGTCTCCTGGGGTCTGCCACAAGCAGTTAGAGTGCTAAAGACTCCAGGGCCCACTCGTCTTCACCCTAGTCCTGCACCCCCACCTCAGCAAGCGCAGCTTTCTTCCTGCCCT